TTTCTGCTCTCGCACTTCCAGAAAGCTTTTGTGATAAAAGCTAATCGCGACGCGCTAATAATGAACAAAAGCTCGGTTGACAAAGATCTGTTTATTCCAAGTAATGAAACATTGTTTTTTTCAATAGATTTTTTTCAATTATTAAAAAGGTTATATTACTCCACTTTTCTAAGTAATAAAAATCTATTCTAACAACATTTTTTATACAAAATATACTACTATTATTACATTATACCAGAGTATTGTATCGAGGCGTTCTCGTCGTCAACGCGTTGATACCACGTGGTTCCAAGTCGCTGTAAAGTATTCAACATTTGCTAAGAAGTGTGTAATTAGCACGTCTTTATAATTGGCTTAAATACCTGCAAGTGTTCTTACGAAGGCTGTAAGACGTATATTTAAACCCTTTAAATCTGTCTTCCGTAAAGTCCTAAGTAAAGTGGAACTTTAGTTATACTTAGTATAGTTGGAACTATTAAATCTATACTATTATAATAAAGCGTAAACACACACTTCTTTTTTGCCTAAGATGTTAGCAATTACAGCATGTTTTTAAATAATTTATTTTTAAATAAAAGGCCCTACACTTACGTCAAGTAAGTATCAAGGAAGCAAGATTGCCAAGGGTTGTCATATCATGTCATTTTGACATTTGCTATTGATAATCTGACCAATGTAAATAACAAAATAAAATTTTCATAATTTTATGCGGATGAAGCCGCACGGGAACAGCTAGTAAAAAATAGAAGTTCATTAAGCTAACTGCAATAAAAGCTATTGACATATAGAAATGACATATATAGCTCTTGAAGTACAAATTGACCAACTCTAATGATACTATAACGTCATAGTATGTAATTGTCGTAATTCCGATACGATTTGATTCACATAAATTTTATTTTACGCATTAACTTATTTACAATTATCTATTTTAATTACAATATCAACACTATTGCAAAATATTTTATCCAAGTTAAAGAGATAGCTCGGAAATATACTTCAATATTGTCTTCCGCAGAATGACCTTGAAAAGTTCTTGACAATGCTTTTAGTGCGATGATTGATTTACTTTTTAATAGAACCTTTCTGCAGAAGTTCCGACAAATCTATCCAAGGTGACAACAAAAAATTGAACGAATGAATTAAGGTTGAATTACGAAATATAGTAGTGCAGTGTAAAATTTATACGTTCGTAATCTAGAGTTTTTTAACTGTGTTTTACTACAGGGGGAATTTTTTTATTAGTAACGGATCTTCCTTTTATATCTCAGTGTATTAAAAATATAATCATTAGGTCAGCACAGGCGGTGTTGGGAGATGAATGGATCGCGCCCCGTGCCCACAAAGGCGTCAAGTCAAAATAAATTATGCTATAAATAGGTCGCGCGTAATGAGTTTGCGATGCTTATTTAAATGTCGGCAGTTTAAAAAGATTTGCAGTGAAAAGCGTCGCCTTTAGGAGGCCATCTGGCGAGAAGACTTAAAGAGACTTAACTATCCCTTATCTCACTTTAATGAGATTTTGGAAAACAGTAAATGCATTTATGTGGTTACAAGGAAAATAAAAAAAAAATATATGCATTTCATCTTTCTTGTCTTTGTCAGACTATTGCTGGACATAGACTTTACCCAATGCCTTCCACGGGAGCATTTCATATTTTTCAATTATAGATCGAAGTTTTTGACCTTGTTGGCTTAACTGAAAATTATGACAGCTCAACGCGCCCTCCTTTTGTGTAATTTTCTATAATAAATAGTTTTACGCATTTTCTAAAAGAGCCACGTTACCACCTCTAGCGTCTGTCACAGGGGTATACATCCTAGTTTATTATTGTCCAATAATATAACATTTACTTAAAGACATTTAATTAAATAAAATACATTTAAATCTGAAGTCTATGACTTTCGCAGTTAGGAAAACCCTTCACCTTTTTTCGAGATTATTTTAGTATTCAAAGTCCCCTAAGAGGGTTGTGGGAAATGTACGTAATGAATTAAAAATATGCTTCCGGGGAAAAAATAAAAATGTCTTGTTGCATGTTACGAAAAGTTAACATTAAGATATATTTTTGTTTTTTATTTTTTTCTAATGTGTATTTTTTTATTTAGAAATGCATTTAACAAAACAATTGTACTGCGTTTTTAATAATTTCCTTTTTTTCGTGTAATACTCATATAAATGTGCTACGAGAAATCGTAGCGCTCGTAGCAATTTAAATCTAACCTCTTAGCTGCCGTATACAAACAATTTGGTGGATAGTGTTGGTTCGTTAGTAGCATTGTGTCATAAAATCGATGGCGCCAACCGGGATTTGGGGTCGTAGTGTTAGCGTCCCTGAAAAAAGCTTATACGGGTAATCCATCATTTAGATTTGTATTATAGTTTTGATGTTTCTATTATTATGAATATTTCTAAGTAAATTTTACGTTATCTGTAATTATTTATGCTTAATCTTTTTAATATTTTGGGACTCATCATATAAGCTATTGCTTAAATAATTCTATATTCATACTTGTTTCCTACCTCAATCGTTTCAGTTAGTTTCTTTCAGATTGTAATTAAAGCAACCTTGATATTTTTTTGGTCCTATAGGTTTTTGTAGAAAATCAATTAAATGTAAAACGCCCTTGATAATGGCGAGGGTCACTAAATTATACAGTACAGTAATAATATTTATTATATCATTCCGTTTATTGTCAAAATACTTATATCAATAAAACATTTAATAGTTTCGTGTGTATGTGGTTGGTATTTATAAGGATTTAACTAAATATTGTTTAATTGCTTAGTACTGTAACACAAATAGATTAACATCAACATGCTATTGTGTTGTTATGTTTATTAAGTTAACACGTTAGGCGTTAACATTTTTGTCAAAGAGTAAGTAATGTTGCTTGTAAAATATTTGAGTTCCGGTAAACGACAATTTTTTATAAGAAACGTTTTTTTTAAAACGCGATTATTACAAAAGATTTACAACAAACTTGAAATGAAATATCGTGGTTTCCGTGTATTGTTTATACTTAGTAATAATTAACTTTTATGTGATAAATTAAGTATTCCAGATATTTCGAGAAGCTGTTGCAATCTACAGTGTCGTGGTTCGCTTGTAAAATTTACGTTCTAATCAATAATTTAAGTATCGATGTAAACTAGCTATATTTACATATAAATAGATAGTTTATTATTTATGTAATACGTATATTTTTTGTGTAAAATAAAATGATCATAGTGCTATACTCACCTAGTTTACGAAGAGTTACGCAAGACGTATCTATTAGACCCCTTCCATACAACTTTAATATATCTATCGTTCACTCATAATACTAAATAGATACATGTATATTATTATTTAATAATAATTAGGCTTTTTAATTCGTTACATCACATCACTAAAGTCAACTTAACAAAGCTGTTATTAATTTTTTAATGTTCGGGAATTATTAAGAATAATACTGGCCACTAACACTGATTCGAATTATTGACTTTAATTTTTTATTCTAAAAATCGGTAGAGCGTGTTTTTTTTTCTCGGTGTGTAGCGAAGGCGCGTTTGTCAGACGGCAAGGCGGGCGGCAGGGCGGCGCGCGGAACTCGCGCACGCGCGGTCTTTGCTCCCTCGGTACAGGTATGTACTTCGGAATGGCGATACGATTAGATTACGATGTCACGCTTTTTGTGAAAGCAGTGTAAAGAAGCTTCTGCTGTTAATGTATAATTCATAAAGTGCATACTTATGCGTTAATTGAAGATAAATGGAAGAGTCGTGAAATATTAAATTTTACAGTCCTTTTTTTTTTCAAAAACGAATTTTTAAAAGACTATCGCCTATTCTCCTATTCTAAAATTTACTACTAACTTAAGATAACATTATTAAGTCTAAAACTATTCAGATTCCAGTTTCTAAATTCGGCCGGCCCTGTTCCATGAAACTTGCGAAGGCTACATCTACTAAGCGAGTATATCCGAATTACGCCGAAGTCTCCCGAACCGACCTGCCTGAATTTATTGTCCAAATTATCATGAGCTTCCACCCCTCCAGAAAATCACCTGAACTGGACGCAAGCGGTGGAGTAGACCGGCGTGGAATAGGTCTCTTCATTCTGGTTGTGTCGTACTGGGCATGCGCTGATAAGATGTCGATGGGTGCACAAAATTGAAATGTATGATAACTTGTTTAGATGCTGAGTGGCAACATTATTAAGCAAAATGGCAAGGATCTATAGCCGTATTATTTTTTAATATTAATAATTAAGAGTTAATTTGTTCTAAATTACGATTCACTTTTAGTACAGTGCGTTTTTCCAAAGGATAAATTTTAAATAATTTTTCGATGTTGTAAACATAACTAATTCTTTTTTCATATGACATGATTTGAGGTCCTAAAATTACTAAGCTTAGAAAACTTACCAACATGGGTTCTACGAAGAGAAAGTTTTGCTTTTTTCTTACAGACTTAAATATTCACCATCAGTAATCTTTATCAGTTTTTCGTAAGTAAGTTATTAGTCACTTTGATAAAAAAGTTAGATTGGCTTCGGTAAAACGTGTAGCTAAAAATAACTGTTACCACCTTGATACGACTATAATGTACCGTTGCCAAAAAAGTGTAGAATGGCGTGTATAGACGACCTTTGGATCTCTGCCAACTCTACCTTCTGACCTACTGTTTGTCGGACAAGGCTGAGCCTGTACGTAATCAACTTTTACTCTCCATTGATTCACTACTAGCCCAAATGTATATGATGGAAGTATATCGGATTAACATTTGCATATTTCTTTTGTATAAAGGGAAACATAGCAGGTCAGCTGATGCTTGTAAGATCGACAAAAGTATCATAGGGTTTATTGTGAATATTCGTGTGAACATTTTCATAACGTCATCGACATTTTGTATTCGTTTTATGCAGCGTCTCTATCGCGCGGTACACCGATATATCACATACTTTTTATCGATGACATTTGGAATATTTGCAACTGTCATGTAAATGTTTGTAGAAGACCCTTACATTCGAGTTGCGCTTTTAAAGGGCGCAAAATACACTGACAATTATCATAATTATGGCGATGAATTGCTCGTTTTGACAGACGTTTATTATAAACTTTACAATAAATTTTAACACTATTTTTAATGTAATAGTGTAACAAACACCTAATAAGTGAAAAACATAGTAAACATATTACCTTGAAATAATCAATAAATTACTAAACACAAGTTTATATAACATTAATTTGGTTTCTCGGTAACTTCAATAGAGTTTTGTAGACTTCTTTAAAAGTTTAACATTTCTTTGTTGAACTTAAAATTCCTCCGAAGTTGAAACAGTGACGTAAGAATTTCTAATATAAAGTTCATATGGGCTTGATTTCCGTCGCCAATTATTGTGGTAAATCTGAAATTTTATGATACTTAAAATACGTAGAAATAACTCGAATTTAACTTACTGCTAGACTGTTGTGCTTAATGGCGCCTTAACGACTATAAGTACGAAATGAGTAAAATAAGAGAAACATAAAACTCATATTATTTTTTAACAAGAGCTTGCATAAGTTAATCTCAGTTTATCCCACTTGTGTATGATTAGAGATTTTTTTTCTTATTAATGAAAAATAGTAAAGTTTACCCTTAATAGGTATGTAGGGCAACACCGGTAGAGGTACGCCTAGAGGAAGGATTGTCTGAACGTGACATGATCAAGAAGGAAGTGACAACTGAGATGACGGAAGATTAAAGAAGATAGAGTAGGGCAAAGGTGATAATGGTGAGTAAATTTTGGCTTGACACAACAAAAACTTATACTTACGATATGTGTTACTCTGAATGGCATCTATGATCTTTTGGAATACAGCATAGCCTGCGTATGACACTAAAGAAACTGAGGCTACACATCCAATCGCTATTAAAATGTAGGTAGCTGTTGAAATAGAGTTATCGTTAGGTGTTGGAGGGGTTGAATTAAGACTTTCCTTCGCTCCTATTTTATCACATGTCATCACAATATCTTCACAGGAAAGTTCCAGATAATTATCTAACAGGTATACATCTGTGCAGTTTTCAGCAAGACTTGATATCGTCTTTATATACCTGGAATACAATTGAATATAAATAGCAAAGAGGATTTTATGAATTTAAATTATTGTTACAGTGAAGGACTTTGCACATATCAGCTGTACCGATGTTATGGTGGGGCGGAGTTATTTATTTACCAGAAATGTGCCACAGGTCTGCGCAATTATATAGTTTCACAGAATCCCATTCAAAGGCATGGTAAAAAGGCGCCGTAGAGATCCTGGGCGCGATCGTTAAAACTATCACTGCATACTGGCGAAGTAATTCAAAGCTATGTGAAGTCTCTCCTTGGTCTATAGTGGTTGATTATAGCCTAGTCGCCTAACTTGGGTAGGCACAGAGCCCCTCGTGAGGGATGTATAAGTTGACAACAAAGGTCAAATTACCTGTGTGTTGGCAACGGGTTTATTGTTATAATGGGTCCTCCGTCGTAACATGTAGTTTCTTCAAACGCCGTATGGAACTCCTTTTCTTCAATTACTCCTTTCTCAGTTTGATAAGTGATGACCTAAAGACATTAAAATTTAACTAGATGAGAAACAATATGTATTAAACCATTTGTTGTCACTGGTTTTACTAAAGAGGAAGAAAGGGATGGGAATAAAAGATTGCATAAGTTTAATGTACAACCACAACTAGGTAGCCGAATATTCAAATTTCAATTGTTTTTTTTTGTTGCTTCCATTATTCTAATAGTATTATAAGTATAGCTTTTCTATTTAATATAGTTTCTAGATATTTAATCACATTTTATGTAAGTAACGGTATTTCGTTGCGTTTCAGTTATAAAAATTGCTTTCCATCATTCAACGTGGGTGACTGAACGTTGCTAAAACATACCTCTGTTACGGCCTCTGTCTCATACTCTGTATATTCCCTAGTCGGTGTGGATTCTTCAGTCGTTGTATATTCCGTACTTGGTGTATATTCCTTTGTTGATACGTATTCTTTAGTCGGAGTATATTCTGCAGTCGGTGTATTTTCTGTATATTCTATGTCTGTCGTAGTTTTCGGAGTTCTCTAAACAGGAGACAAAAAGTTTAATAATTTACGTAAAGATTTAAAAAGTTATATACACATGTTAACAACAATTTTCTTTACAGAGTTCACTGACCTCTTTTTCATGTATAGTGGTTTCTAGCGTTTTCACAGTACTTGTTACTATACTTTCGCAACTTGTTTCTATGACGTCACAAGAAAGTTGAAGAAAGCAATCTTGTGTCAAAGTATCAGTGCAGTCGTCGTAGGGTATTTCATATTTTGGTATTGTTTTGGAAATGACTGGTACACTAAAAAAACGTATACATTATTAAGCACATACATGTTTTCATGGATTAGGTAGAGGGGATGCAAAATAAGACCCCCATAGAGAAATTAAACATGTAAATTAGATATAAATATTACTTCAAAAGACCATATTGAAGGTCTCGCAAGATCTAGCCTAGATACATGACTACATTATTTTATCTTTTATTATGTTACCTCAAAAACCAGTCAAAGAAAATTTAATGAGTAAAGAAGCAAGAACCTTTGAAGTTATTCTGTTTGTTCTCTTTTTAAAAGACAACTGTAAGTTTTATTAAAGTGAATATAATAGAACTAACCTTTCTAACACCTTAAAAAAGTTCCAAAGTAGGGACTTAATCAGTGCCGTCGTTAGAGTAGGGCGACCGCCCAGGGCGGTGGACAGAAAGGGGCTCGAATATCAACTAATTACATCTTATATAGCACGTCAGCAAGCATGGTAAAAAGGCGGCAATGTCGTCCAGGACGATAATAGGGCTAAAACTGTACTTACATTCCCGGTTTAAAAGTATAATTTGTACCTTCACATGTATTTTCTTCTACAATTGTATAGAAATCCTTGCATTCAAAACAAATGACAGTTTTCTGCAATACCTAAAATGGAGAATTGAAATATGATTTATTCAAATTCAAAGGAAACACATGTTATTAAATTAACTCAAAAGTTTATAAAACCACGACAAATTATTTTATAATTAAATATACCATTAATAACGCAACTGTGTATATTTTAAGAATAGCTTTCATCTTTTACAGCACTTTTTAGTCAATTAAATAAAACGACTCAACAGTTTTACAAAACAATATAATATGGTAAAACCAATTAGACATCCGAGTACAGAAATACTAAAATATTATCCTCATGTTTTTCCTGTTCTATATATTGTTTATGGAATGCTTTATATAGCAAAGACTTTATTTATTTATTTATTTAGCTTTATATACATTCCATACAATTACTTTATTTTTTATTATAGACTTATATATTATTTTTTTATTTTTAATGCTTGTATGGATCCCTGATGGGTAAAAGCCTCCTCCAACTTTGACCAGCGCTCTCTGTCCTTCGCCACGTACACTAGTAGTTAGTACAGCAAAGAATTACCGATACATTAATTCGGTATAAATGTAAATCAAGGCGAAGTCTTTCCTGAAGATTTGTCATTTTTAATTAATCGTATAATATCCTTTCTATGTAGTTATTCAAAGATGTCTTTGAATGACTTTCTGTAGAATTTACTAAATGGCTTTTGCCCGCGATGAATTAAAGAAAACTAAGTAAGCCTATGTCTTCTTTCAGACTGTTCTAAATCTTATTGTTTTGGAGATAAGTAGTAGAAAACTTCCATTCAAATTTTCGCATTTCTTTACTTAAGCATTACTCCATACATGTAGTAAGATTTAATATTTATTATATTACTAGCTTTCGCCCGCGACTCCGTCCGCGCGGATAAAAAAAAAACAAATGCGAGTAGCCTATGTGTTCTTCCAGACTATCCTCTTCATCTGTACCAAATTTCATAGAGATGCCTTTAGCCGTTTAGGCTACAAACTCTAACAAACATCTATCCATCCATCCATCTATCCATCCATCTAAACTTTCGCATTTATAATATTGGTATGATAAAGTGACAAACGAGCAAGCGGCCACCTGGATTCGCCGAAATGGCGAAGCGCCCACTACCCATATGCATCCGCAATTGCAGATGCGTTGACCCTTAATCAACGGAGAAAGTGACAAACACAAAGAGGATATTTCCCCTTCCTATGCGTCCCTGCCACCTTCAAATACACTTAAGAAAAGGGTGGGAAGGAAAAGGCACTAAAATTAGTCCTCCTAATGGGAACATCACGAAGGAAAGTGAGGTTGGAAGACCGAAAAAGGACTAATAAATTACGTGTAATTGAATGCAGATATCGTAACGATATCGTCATACATCCCCAGTATGCAAGTTAAGTACATACTTTAACGATACCTAAAAAAAGGCAACTTAGCAGAAGATGGAGTAATCTTACTTTTTACTAATATTATAAATGCGAAAGTTTAGATGGATGGATGGATGGATGTTTGTTAGCGTTTGTAGCCTAAACGGCTGAACGAATCTCCATGAAATTTGGCACAAGTCTAGAGCATAGTCTGGAAGAACACATAGGCTACTTTTTATCCCGGGATAAGTTACGGTTCCCGTGGGATTCATTAATATTTTATAAAAATATTTGCGAAGAATTTAAACTAGTACATTAAATTTAAACTCAAGTGTTATCGTTACAGGAAACAAAATCTCGACATACGATCATACTTTATGCAATTCTGGACTCTATCACGTACCGAATTAAGTACATAATAGAATGATGGACGGTACGTGTCATTTCACGCGCAATGCATGTCTCTTTGACGGGTTCGTACTTTCTGTTAACTGTTTGTGTTAAACTCTGGTCCATCAGTTTGTTTGTAATAAATTTTGTTTACTTTAAGTCGTTTTATGTTTTTAACAGATGTCAAATGAAAGATATTTGTAAAATGTTTTTATGTTTCCTAAACATTTTGCATTAAAGAAGGATTTTAATGTTTTTTTTGTATTTTACAATTGTATAATAAGATTTTTTAAATGTGTTAGTTTTCATTTACTAAATATGAGCTTTATTGTCATTAACATAAGGTATATAGTCATTAAAGTGCTCTTTGTTCGAATTTTAATTCAGTTTTATTCCTGAAAAGTATAGAAGAAAATGTAATACAACGGAGATAAACGCATCTTTCGATTGCATCATCATTTTCTTTAGTTGGGATCGTGGTCAAGTGCCATCGTAACAAAAATAATACTAAAAAATTAAAAACACAATATACAATAGATCAAATTAATCACACAGGGGATAGTTGCTGCCTTATTTAAAAAAAAAACTACTAATAGACAAAAATTAATAAGAATAGATTAAAGATACACATTAACTTTGATAGAATACTAATTATTTAAGGTAATTAGTTAATAAGGCTGTTAAAAAAACGATTTGCCAGTATAGTATGAAAAAACAAAGTTCACAGCAGGGGCGGGTCGCTAGTTAACTGATATGTGTCGAGTACTTAGACGATAACCCATCACATTGTCTCTGACTTTCATACAAATCGGTTGCGTTAAAACGTCATCGAATTTCTCGACACGCGACTGGTAGCTCGTGTAATGACTTTGCGTTGAAAGCTCTTTAAGATGTTTATAAAGTTTGTGCTTGTGGTTTTTTTTGTTTGTTACTTGGATGTGTTTTGTGATGCAATCCAGCCCGGAGACCCTGGAGTATGTATTGTGCAAACCAGGTCTGTTTAAATTTCAAGTTTTTTTTAGTTGTGAATAACATCTGGCCTAATTTTTGTTTAGTTAAGATTTTCATATGTTAATAATGTTCTGCACGCAAAGAGATTTATAAAGTACTAGCTTTCGCCCGCGACTCCGTCGGCGCGGAATTAAAAAAAAACAAAGTGAGTAGCCTATGTGTTCTTTCAGACTATCCTCTACATCTATGCCAAATTTCATCGAGATCCCTTCAGCCGTTTAGGCTACAAACTCTAACAAACATCCATCCATCCATCTAAACTTTCGCATTTATAATATTGGTAAGATTAGAAAGATATAGAGTAGGCATAGTTGACACTACTCGAAACATTTTTCATATCATCTTACAACACCATCTATTGATAGATCCTCAAAACCACATGTCAATATGATTAATTTTGTTTAAATTGATTGCCAAAAATATCTCTGTCTGCACTACACGTTAAAAGATTTATAAAATTTACTCAAGCTCTATAATCTTTGGCGTAACTTTATTCTGATTATTTTGAGATTTTGGTAATTATTTTCTATGCTAATTTTATAAAGAGGTGAGATTTAATTGTTTGAATGATCTCCGATACTATTTGACTGGTTTGGAAACTTTCACCATTAAAAGCTGTATTATTACTAAGTAAAACATTTTTTTTTAAATTTCGCTCGGACGAGATGGACCAAATTCGGCTGCAACTTATTCGATAGTATAATATGGTTGGCAGTTAAAGTGTTCCAATAGTATAATGTGTCCTTTCCTTAATCTATAACTTTAATAGACTTTGATTTGGTTAAAAAAATTAAACATTTTATTCTTACTATTTCAGCTTTAAAAATTATCGATGGAAGACATTTTATGTGCATGTATCAAAATGGTGCGGTAGAACCAGATGTGTAGAGAAGAGAAGAAGAAAAGAAGTAAGTTTCTATTCCCGTGCGGCTTCATCCGCATGAAATTATAAAAACTTTAATTTATGGTTTACGTTTGTCAAATTCTAAATGTCAAAATTACCGTTACCATTAACGTTAATTTGCTTCCTTAATGTTGGCAGCTTGTAGTTTATGGTCCCTTACCCATATGAAGGTTGTTTTCTAATGTATTTATATTTTAAGTTTAAAACCGTGAACATGTAAACCCTAAAGCGTTCTGTATGTAGGGCTTTTTATAAAAGAAAGAATTATTTAAAAATACCCTGTGATTTTTTTTTATAACATAAGGTGGCAAACGAACAATCGGTCACCTGAAACCGCCAAAATGGCGAAGCGACCGCTGCCCATAGACATCCGCAATTGCAGATGCGTTGCCTACCCTTATACGACGGAGGAGGAGACGCACATAAAGAGGATATTTCCCCTTCCTATGCATCTCCCCCACCGTCAAATCCACTTCCTCTTCCCAACTTCTCCTTATAAGAAAAGAGTGGTAAAGAGAAAGGGACTTAAATAAGGCCTCCGGCACCACACTCATCAGACGAAACACGGAATTGCTTCCATTTCACGCCTGTCTTCTGTGTGGTCGTGGTATTACACCGGGCGTGCCGGCCCATTCGTGCTAAGATGTTAAAGCGGGCACTACCACTGTTGACTTTGCTGACATTGCTTTTGTTTATTGCTGACATCTTACGCCACGAAGTATTGTATGTTTACGTTTTATTTTATTAGTATAGATAGTATAGGTAGATAAGTATAAGTATAGATTGTTAAACTCGACAGATTCCTTACTTAAGTGTTGTTAAATCGATGTTCTTAATAAACATGGAGAGTATTATTTAACAATTGCACTTTTTTATTTTTAATTAGTTTAAATAAAACATATAGAAAGTAGTAGAATATATTAGTAATTGCGATCGTCGTAACTACGGTTACCTATAACTATAAAATTAATGCAAGTTGTGAAGAGAGGATGTTTGTATCGGAGATGTGGAGGGGACGTGCTTTGGAAAATAAAGGCGGAGTAAGGACACAACCGGAACCGCCTACGCGACTGGAATTAGCATTGGTAATAAGATGTTGGGAACTTAGGACAGGTTACGAATAACGAGTTAATGCATTTTTACTATTGATTATGACGACCGTGTCCTGACGAACAGATATACATATACTGGGACGTAGAATGCATTTGTAAATCTTACTAATATTATAAATGCCAAAGTTTAGATGGATCGATAGATGTTTGTTAGAGTTTGTAGCCTAAACGGCTAAACGGATTTCTATGAAATTTAGTATAGATATAGAGGATAGTCTGGAAGAACACATAGCTTTTGTTTTTTTTTTTCATACCACTAAGGACGTCCATGAGTGGAGAGGAATTAGTATATTGAATCCTTTTTTGCATGCTTTGTACGCTAAATCTGTATTTTATATTCCAGACGTTCATCGTGACGAGGAATCAGACGGTTTGCTGTAAGGGCTGGGGCTACCGCAGCATGGACGACAGCTGCGGCCCCCTGTGCAGTACGGGCTGCCTCGGAGGACGCTGCATCGAGCCCGACCGCTGCCACTGTGACCCGCCTGCGCGCCTCGACCCTGAGCGACCCAACGTCTGCCTGTTTCCCGTCTGCGAATCGCCCTGCCACAATGCTCACTGTGTCGCCGACAACAAATGCGAATGCGACCCTACCTACGAAAGGCATAACACCACGCACTGCTATCGTTGTGATCCAGGGTACGCCATCGATAACGACTTCAACTGCGCCCCTGTCTGCGACCAACCTTGTAGCAACGGACAATGCATCGGACCAAACATCTGTGGATGCTCCTCCGGTTATACGGTCAATGACACCTTCACTTGTGTACCGGTGTGTAAAAATGCTTCGGTCAATTCAATTTGCACCGCCCCAAATCATTGGACATGTTTGGCGGGTTATACTGAAGTTAATAGTACTTGCGTTCCGCGATGTGACTCTTGTGAACATGGCCAATGTGTTGGACCAAATGTTTGTGCTTGCGATGCCGGATATACAAACGGGAGTAGCGGCTGTGTTCCAGCATGTAACCACACTTGTGAGAACGGTGTATGCTCGGCGCCCAACGTGTGTTCCTGTAACGAAGGTTACGTCAAAGACGATGACTTCCGCTGTGTAACGCCGTGCCGCAAGGAGTGCCCGGGCGGCTGTGACGACGAAGGTGTATGCCTCGACTGCAGCGTTCCATTTAGGTACGTACTTATTTTATTGCGATTTTTTCTACAGAGTTCCTACAGAGTGCCTCGAAGCCTAGCCTAAGATACGTCCGACTAGGCCATACTCAACCACGCTCTCCCAGCGCTACTTAATTACACACACATCTTTGAATTTCGAAACAGATATATATTTTTACACAATTAATGTAATTGTAACAACTTAATTAACTTAAACACTTAGGCCATTGTCTCCCGTCAAATGGCGTGTTATTCTAATATGTCTGAATGACATTGACAGCTGTCATAGGAAGGGACGTCTATGCCGATGATCTAGGGTTGCGCTGATTTTCTTCTTAACAATGGTTGTGTCACGTTGTTTTCCTACACCATAAGAACATCGGGTAAATGTACATAAATATAAATGAAACTGTAAATTCGAATAACAAATTGGTATATGGCCGAATTCGAACCCAGGCCTAGATTTCGTAGGTTTATTACTTAAAAAAAAGTAGTTTCTGCCAGCGCTGGGATCAAAGATAAAAGCAGTTGTGGGTTGAAATTGCAATACAATAAAAGATCCGTCATTGACATTGTTTTGCCTGTCAACGATGTACAATGCGATTGCGTAGGCGACGGAAGGCGAATTGTCCCTACATTGATAGCGCCAGGACAGGACGCGGTACACTCGGTTGCAATGTTACTCATCTGAACCCTGTTGACACGCCTTGGCATTGATTGGCAGTTATTTAAAAAAGGGTTAAATGAAAACATTTTTACTGTGACCATTTATTAAATTTTAAGAAAACTTGCATTATCTGATTGTAATCTTATTTTGTCTTTAATAAGAACGTAAATAAAAATCTCATTTACTAACAAATAATTTTAAGTCTTTCCCTGATAAGGAGTGGTTATGAAACATAATTAAAAAAAGAATGCTAAAGTATAGTCGTTATTTACACTTTAGATATAATTGACTGTCGATGAAAATAATTAGAATTTAAAAATTTCTAAATTTATTTCCGTACTACCATTTGTTGCATTTAAGTGTACTACTGAGTTATGCTCGTGCGCATTGTCTCCGTGACGCAAAACGAATGTATGATCGATGCGAGTGCTGTCGGCCAATTGTATGACAAAAGAGAATTTAGTTATCATAAACATCTACGAAGGGTTATTTTTAACATGGAATTAATTTTGTTACTAGTATTTTATTACACACTAGCGTTCTTACAAAATAACCAAAGGTAACCTATGTGTTCTTCCATGCTCTAAATGTATGCCAAATTTCATCGACATCCGTTTAAGCGGTAAACTCTAACACACATCCATCCATATAAATTTTCGCATTTATAACATTAGCAAGAAGTAAGATACATTTATGACGACCAAAGATTTATTACTCAAAATATACATACCTTAATTAATTTTGTTTTTTACTACTATGTGGTTGTTCTGATTGGTTGGAAATAAAAACTTTTCTAGTCCTTTTTTTTTCGCGGGGGAAATCTTAATAAAGATACCTTGTCCCCGGGTTGGGATATGGTTATGAAGGGTTCTGGCTGGGTCGCGCAAGATAGCGCAAGCGTTCCCGTGACCCAGCCACTGGCGGACAGAAGGAACACCGCTGGGTTTTTGGTGGGTATTCCGGCCATTTTCTATCTTGGCCGGCGAGTCCCACATACCCCCCCTGGCAATGGGGGGATGCGTAAAGGCATTTTCCCAGCGACAAAAAAAAATGGTTAAGTAGGGTTATACCTACTAAAACCCCCTCGGTGGCCATCCGTGCTACAAGTGGGGCTCCGGGATCATAGCTGTCATTTGTGCGATCAACAGGAAGTACGCGCTTCCACAAAGTTCTATTATGCAATTATTTGTTTGTTAACTTAAATAACACATTGTTACGTCAATGCTTGTTTGTTGCATATAATGAAAGGTATTTTCCTATGCATTGTGAAGGCAGATTATGAAAATATTCCTGTAACTCATGTTTAAATTTAAATATAAAATAAAATTCCATATTTTATACACATTTTTTTGCGTTTAGAAACGCTAAAAAATCTCACTAAAGCTTACATACGCTTATTAATGTCTATAGGACTAACTAATAATAGAACAGTTTCCAGTTTTGTCAAATATATCTGAACGATCGGACTGTTCAGAAACTGACCGTTTGTAGGCTTTTGAATTGCAGAGTTTTTTTTCGGGAGAATGAAGTCTTATGGAAAAGCTATTCTGTAAATATAAAATGATTTAAAAAGGATATTTCTTAGTCTTTTTATTTGAATTGATATTAAACCAACGTAAATATTCAGTTTTTTTAAGGCCCAGGATATTAATTTATATGTATACTAGCTTTTGCCCGCGACTCCATCCGAGTAGAATTTTAAAAAAAAATTTAGTAGCCTATATGTTCTTCAAAACTATCCTCTACATCCATACCAAATTTCATCGAAATCCGTTCAGCCGTTTAGGCTACAAACTCTAACAAACATCTATCCATCCATCTAAACTTACGCATTTATAATATTAGTATGATTAGTGTGATTAATTAGCGAAAAATTGAAAACATTCGAAATAAACACGTTACGGCACTGAGTCACATCTTGCGATATTAAAAAGCGGTGTGTAGCTAATTAGTTTTGATTAAATTAGGAACTTTACAAAGCGATGACTAATTAGAAATGTTTACAGTGAGTTACAATCATTTTTATACTTTTAATTAACCTTATGATAAAACATTATTTGCTTTTCGATAGAAGGAAAAACCAATTTATTTCATTTTCAACTAATTATAATTGAAATAGCTTAACAAATATAGTTTTATAAAAGTAGATATAAACGGAATAATGATATAAGAATTGCAATTGACAAGATCTTTAATTATGAATGTGGAGTACACCGTAGAGGTATGTCTAGAAAGAGATTGATGGATATCGTAAAAGGTTACATAATTAAAAAGATCAGAAGATAGAACCTGGAGGAGGAAAATCTGGTGCGCAGACATTCTATCGTTAAATGCATTGAAAATTACGTGAAATTTAACTAATTTTAATGCGCTTACAATTATTCCGGGGTAGAGTAGGTAGGTAGTGGGTAGGGTAGGTAGATCGCCGCCATCGTAGGTAGTAGGCATCGGGTGTTAAAAAACAAATGAAATCAAAATCTCCCAAGTAACAAATTTTTGAACCACTAGAATAAAAGCAGTATTAGTTTTTGGTGATAGCCAGAACTAACTTGGGAGAGCGCCGGTGAGCCTTGTTCAAGGAGAGGCATCGACTTGTTCTAGGAGTTCGAGCATTGTCCTGTAGGTTACAGGACAAAGAGATTAGATGTTTCTGCAGAATATTATTAGATATTTACTGTAGCGCCCTTCCAATTATAGAATTTGATATGTCAATTTCTTCATATCGCTGTTCATTGCGGTCATTTATGACCTACTTTCGCCCGCGACTTCATCCACATCAATTTAAAAAAAACAAATGTGAGCCTATGTTGTGTTCTTCCAGCCGTTTAGACTACAAACTCTAAGAAACATTTATCCATCTAAAATTGTGAAGGCGTAACGATTTGTTCTGTGTCCATTCATCACTAGAAAGTTTGAAAGATGGCGCCACTGTCATAAACAGCTCGGTAATACGTCTGCATTATAATTTCGCTAATCGAATATTTATCATTCTCTATACGTGTTGTACGGTACATTTTTTTGCACAGCCAAATTAAGAAGCTTTTATTAAGGCGACCTCACACTAGCCACTGGAGCGGAACACTGTGATACGCTTGGATGCGAAAATATTAAAAGAAATCCGATTTTCTTATATTCGAGGTGAACTGTACTTGTATCTGTTATGTCTATTAAAAAAAATGAATGATGTATTCTTCTCACGAATTTGTATTCTGTATGAGGCGTACATGCGGTATACGTCGGATCGTGTGAATATACCTTAATGTTTCGCACAGGCCGTGCACAGAATATGTAGGCGTATGTCACATCTCGTCCGTGTCCTGCGCTATCGGTCGCCGGATGTCTATAAAGCTGTCCGGTCTGATATTCATTGTTCTTGTGCACAGTGTAGCTATGGTATAGACCGAACATTTCCCGAGTATTTTATACTGTCATTGTAATAATATAAACATGTTTTATAATCTGTTACCAACATTTATACTGTAAATTTACAGTAACTATAGTTCCTATATTTCGATGTTTTAAATGAACAAAAAAAGAAAAAGATGAGTTAAGAATTGGCAAAGTGTCAATTTTTGAAGACGCTAATTCACACCAAAAATCCGGTTGTGTCTCGCTACTATTTATATTTACCAATTTACTTGCCAAGCCCTTTGGTACATTTAAAAATAACCTATAATTAGACTTTTTTTACGTATAGACGTAAAAAAAGTTTCGCATAGGCGAAATATATGAATAAGATGGTTATATCTTGATGTTTAAAATGTCTTTGTAATTTATATCAATGATTAAAATTGTAGGAAATATTAACGTACGTATAAAGTTGTGAATCTTAACATTTGATTAAAATAATTTTATCGTTGATTTAGGATAAAGGTAAATTAATAAATAATTACACGTCCTGTCATCATTAAAATTCTATTTATGAAAAAAAAAAACATAATTTGAAAGCTCTATTTTATTGTTACACTGTGCATAATCCCGATATCACACGGAGGTCAATTAAAAAGTACAGCGTACTTATGTATTTAATTGCAGTCGCATTGTAGAGTCGTCCCCGTATTGTTGGCGCCTTAATTATAAATATAGTATTCAATCCATATATTGGTCGTTAAGTTTTTAAACGACAGTGTATCTGTTCGTATCGTTAGTCGTAGTGACGTGCTCGAGGCAATCGTTCGTGTTCTCACATCGATTTTATTCGCGAATAATCGTTTGGAATATTTTCGAACGCATCGTGTAGCCGCATCCGTTGATAGCATATCGCTGGATGTAGCCAGTGCTGGATGATATAAGCCATTACAAAATAAACGTCTGTTAAACGATTGTGTAAATCAAAATGAGAACGTTTTATGTGGTGTTTATTTTATTTGTGCTTTACGAAACTGGAGTATGTTTGAAAAAGGGTGATGTCGGTGTTTGTATTAAGATAGTGTAAGTTTTTTCAGATTGACCAGTTGTTACGTACATCTATTAAAATTAATTTCAGGCTTGGATACACTTTGACGTCTTAAATCCCAGTTTTCGTTAGATATTAATTTAAGCTTTCGTGAGACATTATTATAAGGCTAACACAGACGTCTTATTTTACGGGCTTGTTGAGAAAATTCAACGTAAGGGCTTTCTTTACACTTATAAATTAAAGAAATATGCGGTTCTTCTCTTGTAGTTTTAAAAACTATGTTTCACTTGTCATACAATCAATTTTAGGTTTTCTAAACGGTGAAATAACCGCGAAGGTTGTTGACTTGTTTTGACGATTTCTGTGGATCTTATTATCATTCACACTTCCTCATTTAAACTAATAACAATTGATAACGGTTCAAATATATTTGATATTTTCATTTTCTTCTAAATGTAAATAATTTATTAATGACCTTGGGTCATCCTAAAGTAATATTGAGTACAGTTATCAATTATATGAACAAAATAATAGCTTCGTAAACATGGAAATGATATGCAAGTTCAGAGAGTTACCAAAAGGTACACTGTCATTTAGCGCGTAAACAATTTGATTGCTTTTTGAAAGAATACTAATTTTTTTCTAACATATGCATAGATTTTACAATAACTTTTAATTGTTTCTTTGTCTTGTTTCAGTCCCGTGAGTGGAAGGAGGCCTCGGGATAGAGTGGTAAGAAAGTATTCTTAATTTTTAAACTGCAAATCATACTTAATATTGAAATGCGAAAGATGAATGGATGTTAGATGTTGAAATTTATAGCTTTAACGGCTGAACGATGAAATTTGGTACAGTTGTAGAGGATAGTCTGGAAGAACACAGGCTAATCACTTCTTTTTAAATGCACGCGGGCAGAGTGCCGGGCGAAAATGTAATTGCAATATTTTAATTATAAACACTTTACGTAAAGCTTGTACTAGGATATGAATCACGATAATAAACAGAATTCAAACTTACGACCATGTGATCGGATGTCAGTACTCTTAGCCGAGCTATTGGTAGTAAAATGTATGGAAGCGAGATAAGACTTTTGTGTATTCTCGCGAAAACTACAGACAAGAGCGGGCGCACATCTTTAATTAAATGTCGATTGTTTTGCAGCCAATTCAACTGTTTAGTTGCACGACTAAAAATCAAGTACTGTGCGACCTCCATATAAGCTTATAGGAATCAAAAGACTAAACAGTCTTGCGATGGTTTAATCAAAGTGTGCGCGCTCTTATCAAGTACTGTGTCAAGATTATGGAATAAGTTGTTATATTTAGTAAGTTAATATGTTAATGTTGTAAATGAACAAAGAACATCCTGTACATGAAATTATGGGATAAGTTCTTGATACATTTTATATTTTAAAACGCATATGATTCATGCAGTATTGAGTAGGGTACAATCGACCTTTGTAATGACCATTATGGTGAAATACCGGATAAGTCGAATCCAAAGGACAAATTATAGTTGTTATACAATGGTTGTTTATCGAATTAAAAGTGTTTGTGGCATCGTTGTGTTTTTTACCTAAGTACTCTATATGAGTTTTCTATCTTAAGCCCGCTCAGTTATAACTGAACAGTTGGAATGTTTAGTAAATATTGTTAGACCAGAGGGTATGTTATAAATAAATAGATTATTATGTTGGGATTGAATATTGATTAATACAATATGTTTTTAAAATAATTACACATTTTGTAAATGCGACGTTTTACATCTAATTGGCGGATATTTTGTTTTCAATTTAACAATGCCACGCTAAAGACTAAAAAGCATTCTTATCAATACTGTGACATATACTACCGCAATAGTTATAAATAATACAATGCTTGTTGTGTTCATGTTTATTGTGACTTCGTGGCAAAAGCTATAGATAGAAATGTCCAGTTTCATTACAAAGATAGTGAATGTTAGGGTAAAGTTATGTAATTACTTGACTATTAAATCTGTTACTTATCAATTTGCAGATGATAGAAAAGCCTGCGTGCTGTTCAGGATGGAAGTACGACTCTAATACCAAGAAGTGCAACTTCTATTGTAGATTCGGTTGCGAGAGAGGCACGTGCGTGGGCCCCAATGAATGCAGTTGTGAACCGCCGCTGCAGCTGGTCAACCACAGATGCGTGGAACCTGAGTGCGACCCGCCCTGCCAACATGGACAATGTCATCCAAACAACACTTGCATTTGTGATGCAGATTTCGAGAAAATTAATTCGTCATACTGTGCACCTAAATGCGAGCCTGGATATGAACGTCAGTGTATTAACGGCACTTGCGCTTCCGATGTCCATTCCGATCCACTGTTGTGCAGACCCGTATGCGAGTCGGAGTGTATTCATGGTGTTTGCGTAGCTCCTGGCGTCTGCAAATGTAATGAAGGATATAAGAATGATGGTTCGTCGGAATGCAAGCCGGTGTGCAAGGCGTGCGGCAACGGCACTTGTGTGGCTCCCAACAAATGTCAATGCTTCAAAGGTTATTCTACTGATGAACAAGGGTTATGCGTACCTGAGTGTGAGACGCCGTGTGTCAACGGTTCATGTTCGGAACCAAACGTTTGCTCTTGTCCTCAAAATTATACTTTAAAACGAACTGTAGAAAACAATACTACGATAGACAAATGCTGGCCAGTTTGTTCACAAACCTGCGTCAATGGATACTGTAAGTTACCAAATACTTGTGCCTGTGAGCCCGGTTTCGTGACGATGAATGAAAGTTCGACTATCTGTCGCAAGGAATGCGATGGACCATGTGAAAATGGTGTTTGCACATTATTCGGACATTGTGACTGCAATCAAGATTTTCAACTTGAAAATGGAACATGTGTTCCTGCTAATATGTGAGTTGTAACGCTTTTTTTTTCGATTTCGTTAGTTTTTGTTTTTGCTAAATCGATCAGCTTTACGTTATATACGAAGCGATCTGATGATGAAGATAATTTTTAAAAGATTTAGGCATTTTGTTCTATGTTTGTAGTTCAAAGTTGGATTGCGATGCGTGTGGGGGGCACTGCATATTAGGCGACTGTCGCTGCGATGACGACAGCCCCTGTTCTATGACGGCCGCTGTTGAAACAGCCGAGATCGAGTCCTCCGCCAGGTTTGTTAACAATTTAAATTGTAGTAATAAGACTACGTTTGAAGAAAAATAAAACATGACAAGATGTAAATGACTGAGGGAGTAGAAGTAGGTCTAAGCTATGTTAGAGAGACGGCCTTGACGAATTGTGGCGGACCGCCTCCTATCTTATGTGGTTATGCCAAAAAACAAAAGGAAAACAATGCATTATTTGGTCTGAATATTGTTTTGTAATCATTCAGAGTAAACAAGAGTCGTAATTTACAATATCGTTACGTCATTAAGTTGCATAAATTTTACTTTTTCAGGTTAGCCGGTCTGGAGCTATCGTGGGTGGTAGGAGGTGCTGTTAGCTTGCTATTGCTTACACTTCTGATTGCTGTCTTCGGTCACATGTGGAAGAGAAGAAGGGACTATGGAGTTAAAGCACCTGACAATAATAGTAAGTGTACTAAGAAGTTCCCAAACTCATTTTCCTTGTGGAGCCAAATCGAGGTTTTTAATCATTTTTTTACACCCGACCTTATATCACGTTGTGCCTTCACTTCGAGACCAGATCAAATTTTCGTGGACTCCTATTTACAGCTTTTGGGCCCACAATCTTGTTTCCAACAAGTGGATCATCAGGTTTCCTTTGAACCATAAGGGTTTTTACAACTTTGCAAATTATGTATACACTAATGGAATTGATACTAAACATACAAGAAAATAAGAAATTACTATACATTTAAGCATTCTTTAGAGAGAAAGTAATCCATACAATGGATTTGTAGTTGTCATATTAATATTTTTCAGGTGGTGCTTTCAGTAGCGTGGCGTATACTGTACCAGGTACCCTCTTAACTATAGGAGATGTGAGAAGAGAGGCCAGAGACAACGAGAACGACTACGACGAGGAAAACGAAGATCCGAGCCGAGCTGCGGCAGAAACATTACTGGAACATAAAACCGTTCCTAATGTATAACACTGTTAGAACATAATTACGGATTCCTCTGTCAAAATGTAACATTATGTTTTTCGGTACTCCTCACCATGCGAATTTTGTCTTTTTTCTCAAAGAGAAAAAGAGGAAAGGCTTTATTGTAGTACATTAAGACGGTGGAATTCCGTGGATATGACAATGATAGTACAAAATAACGAAACAAAACAAATGAAAGTACATTTTAAATTATTTTTGTTTTAAAAATGTTGTTCCAAATTTAAAATTTATTGAACTATATATTGATATTGAAATTGAATGGATCTGCTTATATCAAATTATCTAAAGAAAGAAAAAAATATTTTTATAGCGATATTTTAAACGCGAGTGGATTTATTTATTTTAATTTTATAACTACCCTCAGCAATAAAGTACTTGTAACTACCTACTTATTAATTACATTTGTAAATATTTAATGCCCGATATTTTTTTCCATACTCATTTATTTTTATTATTTGTAAAATTAATTGCTAATTAATATCTATCTTTGAAAAAAATATTCTCTAGATAATAGCTAGCTAGCTAGCTAGCTAGCTAGATAATAGCTAACCAGACCTAGAGGAAGATCGCCTATGAGATGGACCGACCAGATTAGAACGGCAATGGACGTACCCTTGCATCAATGTGCGAAAAAAGCAGCGTACAGGGAGGAGTGGCGGCGTCTTGTAAAGCGGGTCACTGATACGTGATAACCACGACGAGTCTGTAAAGACTCAAGCGACAAAAAAGAAGAAGAAGATAATAGCTGTTAAAAAGATTTGAATTGAGTTCCACAACAAAAATATGAATTAAAATAGAGTATAATTCCACTAATAACAGTTTTGTTAATATGTTATATTGTAAAGATCATAAATATTTATTGGAAAACTAGATACACCCTAAATTGGGGTCTTAGGATCCTTCAAGAAGCGAGCCTACGATTTCCTAAAAGGCCGGCAATGCATCTGAAGTTCCTCTGGTGTTGCGGATGTCCATGGGCGTCGCTGACCACTTCGGTGTTCTCGCCGCTCGTTTGCCCCCTTCTCATATAAAAAAAATTAATAATGTATCTTTTGTAGTCCTAAGTGTATAGTCACTAATTCTAGGATTTAAGCGATTGTCGACCTTTGGAAGGTCTCTAAGGAATATTATTTAAATTTTTACATGAATAAAATAAATATCATTTACTTTGTGATAATATTGATTGGTTTAAGCATTTGTAATTGTTGTTGACAACGAGAAATGACAATAAATACTTATTTTTAATAATATCTGTTTATTTATTTAACTTAAGTGGTATCTTAATACTATTTTATTATAAAAAAGATTTTAAATGCCGAGGGACGATTGGTCAAAGCGTATGAGTATTCTAGTGAAGGAAAAAAGAAAATGCCAAAATAATGGTTTCCGAGAACCCCTACTGGTAAGTTTCTTCAGATCTACAGGTCCTTGGTTCGAATCCAACTTTTTTCCCAAAAATTTTCGAATTTCATCTAATTTACCCGACCTTCTAACGGTGAAGGAAAACATATGTCTGAAGTGAACCAACCCTCTGTCGGCCAGCGTAGTTGACTATGGCCTTTTTTTGGCGTTGGGGGAAAATCTTCCAAAGCTGTGCCCTCTGGGGGGAAGACAGAGTTATGCAGTATTTGATTCATTAAAACCTACTCGGTGGCCATCCTTCAGTGACTTACTCGAAGATTACGGGACTTTCAAGGACACCGGAAGGTTGACTATGCCCTTGTCACCCCCAAATTACGTCAGACTCCAAGTCTCTCAACGTGGACGTATAGTAAATTGGTGATTGAAATATCATTTTTAGTACGCTTGAATATTGCGAGAAAGGTTGAAAGTGAATTTTAGCTTTATTTTTAATTATAAAAACAATTATTTGGTCAGAATTATTGTCGTATTTCGACCAATGTTTTATAATTACTAGTAAAATTTAACCTTGTACTTAATACAAACATATTTGATACGAAAATTAAAGATTTATCCTCATTCTATATTTAGGCCATTCGCACATGAGCTTATGCCTCGTGTCTCCTACGTTTAAAACATTTTTTTTTATAATATAAGGTAGCAATCGAGCAAACGGCCACTCAAATCCACCGAAAAGGAAAGCGACTGCTGCCCATAAACATCCGCAATTGCAGATTCGTTGCCTACCCTTAATTGACAAAGGAGAAGACGCACAAAAAGAGGACATTTCTCCTTTCTATGCGTCTCCTCCACCGTGAAATCCACTTTTCCTTCCCATCCTTACCTCTAAAGAAAGGGGTGACAAGAGAAAGGGACTAAAATTAGGCCACCGGCACCACACTCATCAGACGAAACGCGGAATTACTTCCACTTCACGCCAGTTTTCTGTGTGGTCGTGGTATTGCACCGGGCGAGGGCCAATTCGTGCTAAGATGTTAAAGCGGGCTCTACCACTGTTAAAACATTTACGTTACGCCGCTATGTGTAAAAGGTCTATTGGTTAAAGTAAAATTAAACCTTATTCCAATCGTATAAAGCACAATTTTATTTTGATATTAAACATCTGGCTCCCCGGCCCGTTATAGTTTACTTAGCCATGCCTTAGACATAAGAACATGTGAAAGCATAAGTTGCAATAGTATATTGTATATTTTATCTATAAAATAATAATTACTTTAAAAAGCGAAATCTATTTACTCCTAGAAATTTACGTAAACGGATTAAAGTTAAGTAAATATATTATGCAAGTATTCAAATTTAAATGAGGAAAACAATTAAAACTGTAATGCCAAAAAAATATAATCACATACTACTTAAACACGTGTTTTAACTCTGACTGCCGTTAACTGATAAAAGCGTCAACGCGGTTAAATATTTCACCACAAATATGTTGATATCGCATTGGTTTCGGAAAAGTTCTTTGTTATTCTAGTGCTGGGTTGCTGAAGTTATAATTTATTTGATCATTAGTTATTGATTCACTAGTGTTAGGTTGAACATAATTTCAAAGGAGAAAAACTCAAGTTAAACGGTTCGGAAACGAATTTTATTAATTTATGTACAATAATATTAACGAATGGTAAAAAGTAGCTAGAAATTAGCCATAGATAACATTTCGCAAACCTATGCGTCGTAACGTTCAATATTCATAATTCCCGCCTTTACTATAGTCCCTGTACAAAAGGATGACATAGGACTTAGGGGTCTTCAAGAAAAGAGCGTATTCCTCCCTTAAAGGCCGGCAACGCATCTGCAGTTCCCTTGGCGTTGCGGATGTTCATGGGCGTCGGATCACTTGATACCAAGCGATTCGTTGCTCGTTTGCCCGCTTTTTTATATAAAAAAAAAAAAGATTTAATCTATAATGTATTTAATAGGCGGCCTGTTTTATTTGAAAAACGAACACTGAGAGATTGTTAACATAATTGTTAGAAATAGGTTATTATAATGGTAGTAATTTGATTTATAATCTGTATTCTATTGTCTGTGTCCACTTTCTTCCCCTTTGATCCTCGCCATACAGGTGTCTCTAACGCACATGAAATCTTTCTTAATAAATCAAGTTAATCGTATTTATTTTGATTCAAAAGCTAACAATTGTGTTTCTATGGCATTTAACCATTCGTTAATGTTTTCGGTTCGATAACTTTATGGTATGCGTTTCAGATCTACGTAACTTGAGTTTTACTCCGTAGTAACTTAGTATAAATGTGTGATAACGACAAATTAAATGAAAACTACAGCAATCCAGGATAAGTTCCTAACGTTAATTAAAATTAATAATGCACTAATTTATAACGTTTTCCTTAACCTAAACAATACGCAATTTGAATGGTATTTAAACTATGAACTATTCCAGGAATCGGGTGTTTTATTTTTTAATAAAACAAATAAGTATAGTTACAATTCAAAAGTACTTTACACACCTCACTATCTTGCGTTTATTTCCGAAATCGTATCCTCAGCTTGCTTTTTTAGCGAAGAGGAATTTTTACAATCACATTATTTTTATTATCACATGGTGTTAAAACAAACGACCATCTGAATCCGACGAAATGAAGTGACCATTGCCCAAAGGCCCAAGTAATTGTAGTTGCCGTACAAAGGCACTTTGTCTTTAAAGAGGATTTTTAAGGATTTTTAATGTTAAGATAAACTGCTTTAATGTCCAAACAAATTATTAAAACCATCACATCACCAGCTCACTTTACGTCCCCACAGAGGGGCTCGGAGCCTACCCTAAGTAAGGGGGGACTAGGCCATAGTCAACCACGCTGGCCCAGTGCGGGTTGGTTGACTTCACACAATCTTGTATATATATGTGTAGGTTGCATCACGATGTTTTCCTTCACCGTAAGAACGTCGGGTAAATTGTGTACATTATGAAAATTCGAAAAACCGAAAATCACATTGGTAAAGCGGGATACGAACCCAAGACCTTTAGATTACAAGTCAAGTACTTAAACCACTGAGCCACCGAAAAATTAAAACATTAAAACCATAAATGACAAAAATATTCCATTAAAGTGACAAGAACAAGGATATGATGCTCACACGGTGCAAGGGACTTATGGTGAAGTACATAAGGTCAAGAAATGAATGTATTTGTAACCCGTATTGGGCTAGGGTAAGGACCCATTCCCTCTCATATAAGAGAGTAAGAAAGGGAGCCCAATTAGGACGTATATAGGTGAATGAAAATGTATAAACCTATCTTGGAAATAATACTGTTATTAGTCTTGGAAATCAATTTAGGTGGTTTAAACCAATAAAAGCAAACCAAAGTTACAGTTTCTTGAATACGTCAATAGTTGTATTTAAAACCTAATTCATGCAGTCATCTGCATGAATTAGGTTTTAAATACAACTATTGACGTAACAAAAGTCGTACAAAAGTCGTACAAAAGTCGTTCGTACAAAAGTCCCGACTTTTATTTCATATATTCATATATATGAAATAAAAGTCGGGACTTTTGTAAAAAAAAATAAAAAGTTAAAAAAAAATGAATTCCAAATTTAAAATCCGTTAGATTTAACGGTATGAAAAATAGCGCAATAATCTACTTATTGATATGAACCAACATACGGATGTATTGGGGATTATTATTATATTATAACTAATTGGTTTGCAAGCTACATTGGTCATTTAGATCGAAGAGGGCGTGCAATGAGGATCGATTTGTTTTCGAAAATGAACTCCGCGTGTTTACTTAGTATTTTCTTGTTTGCGGTAAGTTGGATTATATTCCATTTTATTTTTATTTTGTTAATCTTTGTAATTATTATTTAGCGGTGAATTTCAAACGTCGTAGCATTCTGAGAATATTAATATTAACGGTGTTTAAAGACAATTTAAGGGGAAGAAATATCCTGGAACTCGTATGTCATTTGAGTTCAAATTTTCTTTCAAGTTTATTTATTTTATTTAAATAAAGTTTATTTTAATTAAATGAAGTAGAATATATAGTTATTAATTACTGTTCATAGTTTTTGTAGTAGTCAAAAATAAACCAAAAACTGTAGACCATAAGTTCTAATGTAAGGGAAATTTGAATACAGGGACTGAGATCTTTTTCTCTTTTTAACTGTTTATTGTACAAATGCAAAGGCTCCTGCTATGTTTAATTTTTTATTGGCTTTACGAATGCATACTTTGGACGTATTTCTGGATTTTGCAATGACGAATTTACAGGAAAAAGTGTCGGATGAACATAAAATAGGACATTATCCTTATAATATACTCATAGTTATAAATATAATGAACAAAAAGTAATAAACACAAGTGATTTTTAATAATTCGTCCCTTTATGTAACTAAGTAGCTATCTTGTTACTATCTTACTGAAAGTTACTCTGAAAGTTACTCTTACTGAAAGTTTAGATGGACGGATGTTTGTTAAAGTTGTAACCTAAACGGCTGAACGGATCTCGATGAAATTTGGCATAGATGTAGAGAATAACATGGCAGAACACATTGGCTTCTTTTTTTTAATTCCATGAGTGCGGAGTCGCGGGCGAAAGCTAGTTAAGAATATGATTTTCAACACTGTTTTTGATAAATATTTATTTCACTATCCGATAACATGCTCGCTCCTATGGGAACAAAAATAGATTTATATACATAGATTTATAAAATAAAAATTAAAGTGGACTTTTTTTAACAGATATTACAAACGGCAACCTCAGAAGAATGCACTAAGTTTGATGTTAAAATTGAAGACAAGTAAGTTTATAAAATATATAATTACTTTATCTTGTTCTTGTCCCTATAAAGGGTCAGATAGTATATGCAGATCTTCCATACATCTCTTATCATATCTGAATTCCACACTTCGTTGATGCACCTCTATCTTTGCAGCTATCCACATTTAATCTTACTTTATCGTTTGTCTTTTTAAATTACTTAAAAATAAAGTATTTCAAATATTTTAAGAAAGGTGTTAACATGAAGAATTACCTAAATTATTACGTATCTGAATTATGACGTAATCGTGGATTTCGAAACTTTCTCTATAAGAACCAATAAACTAACACTGACTAAACTTTCATGGGAAAATTATATCTGATAGAAGTGTTTTATTTTCTAGAAAATTAATACTGAATACGTCAGCGCTATGCTCCAGTTACGGGTAAGTTTATTCCATACTTTCTAAGTAAGATAATCTAAGCTAATATTTGTATATGATAAATAACTCAAAAACTACTGGGCTTAAAAAAAACAATAATTAGAATACATAACAACAGGCTACGTTTTTTTACTATTTCTTAATTCCACGTGGACAAAGTCGCGAGGAACAGCTAGTGACTATTACAATACGTTTAAGTTGAAAGGAGAACAAAGTAAATTTGTGACGTGAAAGGGAGTTTGATGGATGGCAGCGTCCCAGACGGACTCATAACGTCCAAATTCATGAAATACCGAAGAAAGACGAATTGAGAGCATCTGATACCAACATTTACGAGTATGTATGTGTTGGGCTCGGATGCCTTCCACAAATCTTTTATATTCATATGCGGAAGACGTGAAAGACCTAAAGGTCTGGAATACGGAAGTAGCGTGGATTTTTCATATACATTATTGATGACTTACTATTACTTTAAAATAAAATACTAACGTCCAAAAGATAATCATAATTTGCTATAGTACAGTCACTTGCATGGATATGCATAATATTATAAGACTTATATAGAACTGTGAAAATATTTTTGCACGTATTCATCAATAGCATGAATTCGTAGTTGAAGGCGTAAAGGCATTCGTGCATTCATATTATAAAAACAAAAGACTGTAAGAGTTATGAAGCTTTGTAAATGTATACATATTTATGGAGCTGACTGTACTGTTGCATACATAATCAAACTATAAGAATATTCCAGCAAATTCAAATATTTACAGGTTAGGCGGCGCGAAGCCATCCCCACCAGAGATATCCGTGAGTAAAACTGAAACGTGGATTAAATATGGAACTTAAAATTTATGTTTATAAACTAAGTCCAATGGTTTCTTATCAGCAAAATTTATAGACATTCTTGCTTTAAACCGCTTAAAAAACACAATGTTGAGGCAATTTTTTACATCACAATGTAGCAAACGAGAACGCGGTCACCTGAATCTGTGAAAATGGGGGAGCGACCGCTGCCCTTAGACATAAGCAATCACACAAGGGTTATCTACCCTTAATCGACGGAGGAGGAGACGCACATAATAAGGATATTTCTCATATGAGTCTCCTCCACCGTCAAATCCAGTCTTTCTTCCTTGTAAAAAGGGTGGAAAGGGGCTAAAATTAGGCCTCCGGCACACACTATGCATGAACACTAAATTACTCCCACTTCACGCCTGTCTTCTATGTGGTCGTGAAGTCCTGAAGAAGAAATATTGAAACGTGTTCATCATTATGTGTCATTTGTTATTTTTCAGGGGAGAACGTGCAAAAAAAATACTCCTTTAAAGAAAACAGATGGGTTAGTATTTTTTTAAAGTACATTGTACACATACAATTTAATAAATACATTATACAACAGTTGTTTTTTTTTTAAGTCTGTATTTTATTTAATTATATCCTTGGCACCTTTACTAGGTATATTTCCCTGTGTTAAGTTTTTTTTTTCGAACAAATATATTTTATAAACTGCTAAAAACTATCTTATTAATTAAAATATTATATTTATTTTCTTACAGTATCGTTAGCATTAGTCTTGAAGATTTGTGCGGGGAATGTGAAACGTAAGTTTTTTCAATTGTTTTAATACTATGGCTTGTTTTCTGTCTTTTAAGTCTGTATTATAAAAGGCCTTAAAGTGATTTAATCTGCCCGATCCTACACAGCTTTGTGTTACCTTCCTCCTACTTTGTTATTGCGGTATAGTCTAAGCCCAGGCCGATAGTCAAATTTATGGTTCCACTGTAGTCGACGTTGTTTCATGCTCCCAATGGCAATGAAATGAGAAAAAAAGTTAGCTTAATAAGTGAGTTTGATATTCAATTTACACATGTATATTTCACAGCGAAGTAATCACAGACGACGCTCGTGCCAATGCATCTGCTACCGAAGCATCAAGTTCTATAAAACCAACAGAGAAAACTACCACTCCTCTTGTACCGCTCTCGCCTCGTATTGCCGAAAGGTAATTTAAAACAACAAAATTAGTTTAAAAAGTAGATTTGACATTTAATGTACACATTTATATTTCACAGCGAACTACTCAAGGACGCTGTTGCCAATGCATCTGCTACCGAAGTACCAAGTTCTATAAAACCAACAGAGAAAACTACCATTCCTCTTGCACCGCTCTCACCTAGTGATGCCGAAAGGTAATTTAAAACAACAAAATTAGCTTAAAAACTAGGTTTGACATTTAATGTAAACATATATATTTCACAGCAAACTACTCAAGGACGACGCTGTTGCCAATGCATCTGCTACCGAAGTACCAAGTTCTATAAAACCAACAGAGAAAACTACCATTCCTCTTGCACCGCTCTCACCTAGTGATGCCGAAAGGTAATTTAAAACAACAAAATTAGCTTAAAAACTAGGTTTGACATTTAATGTACACATTTATATATCACAGCAAACTACTCAAGGACGACGCTGTTGCCAATGCATCTGCTACCGAAGTACCAAGTTCTATAAAACCAACAGAGAAAACTACCATTCCTCTTGCACCACTCTCACCTAGTGATGCCGAAAGGTAATTTTAATATTTATACATTAATCGTGCTCATATATTATTATTTGCTTAATTTAATGTGACCTAGACATCTAAACACACATCCAGACATCCAAACATTTTGGTTTTGCAGATGTTTGGTAGCTTTTTTCACGGATTTCAATCATCAGTCGATGTATTAAATTAATTGTTGCTTTAAAATCCGAATTCACAGCAAGAAAAGGAAAACAGAAGTCCTGTGATAAGTTTGTGAATAAAAGTCCCCTACATTACCGCAATGGGTGACGTGTTTTATGTTTGTAGTCACGCTATGTGAGTGGTTATTTTTTTATTTCACACAGCGCACCACACATAAGTACTAGCAATCCAGCTCTTGAAGTATCTAGTGATAAGCCGTTAGACGATGCGACAGTATCATCATCGACTTCGGATAAATCTATAGAAAGGTTAGTTGTTAGAGAATGTACGGTACATTATATGGAGATACCCTCATATATACCACAGTTTTTGATGTTATAGATTTTTTTTTATTTGTGCAATAATTATAAATGCTGTATCATTTTATTAACAGTGAAACAAAGAAAACTGCAAGCGATGAGAAGGAATCTCCGAAAATAACTGCTACTGCTTCTAATTCTACAACTGCAAATACAACCGAGACTAAAGGTCCATTAGAAACTGAACCTTCAAAGTCTTCACCGGATAAATCAAGCAAAAGGTTATTTTGAAATTTTGTCATAGTTGCTTTTTATGTAAGAAAAAAACTCGAGGTTGTCCAATTTACTATCATTCTACCTTCAACCTCTTAACGAATTACCATAGAGTAGAGAAAAATGTGATCCTAAATTAAAAATCTAAATTTCAGTTCAACCACTGACGCATCCAGCGACAAAACTGTTTCAAGGTAATTTAAAACAAGTTCATTGCGATTCCTAAGCAGAAATTAATTGACAGTAAGCTTAAAGTTTTTGCTATACGTCAAGAAAATTGTTACGCCCTGTACATTCAGACATGTAACGATTAAGTTTTTAATTTGGATTTATTATTGAACTATCATGTAAAACGATGTTTCTTGATTTGACTATACAGCGTGATTCTTAACGGATATTAAGACATTCATTCAAATTCATTAGAACATACTTTGCGTTAAACCATAGCTATTGAGGTCCTCTAATCCCACAAAGCCGTAGATCCGTCCGTTAAGAATCATCCTTTATATTGTCACTTTTAAAGTAGCACTTTCAATAACTTAAGGTAATTAAATATGTAATTTTCTTAATTGTATGATTGTTGTTAAAGTGCACATTTGAGCGGTGAGCAATCCGGCACTTCGTTCTCCGGCGGTGCAGTGTTCCTCTTCTTCCTGTGCGGTGCCGTGATTGGGGTCCTTGCGGTTCTTGCGGTTATATACATCCGAAAACGATACCACTCCCGCAGTTATGGTAATTATCGAGCTGTTCTAAAAACAAGCAGTTCAGCAGTTTAGGCTACTAACTCTAAAAAACATTCATACATCCATCTAAACTTTCGAATTTATAATATTAATGAGGTAAGATTATTAAGAGTGTTTTATGACTAATGGTATATTTTCTTTTGTTTTCAGAAACTAATGATGCCCCTGAACAACCTTAGATAAATGAAATGTAGGATTTTATGTACATAAAGCCTAGTTTATTTTAATACAGTTTATTTGAATGCATATTATTTAGTTGTCTATATATACTAATATAGTTAATCGCGAATACGTTTATGATCACAGCACACCGAATCACAGAGCATTTTTGGTTAATTATTTTTATTAATAAAAAAAACCTTACAAACACGGTTTTCGGTATTAAATTAATGGTGTAAGTAAGTTGGAAGAAAGTGCTCTGAGAAAGACAAACACTACAAGGCAATAGCAGCTTAAAAGCAAGGTTACCATGGTTACTTAAATTCTTGGTCAATGGCACGGACCTTCGTTTTCATTTGAGAATCTTAATTTTGACAGTTGAGATTTTTAAAAGTTTTACGTGATTTAAACAATTTTTTTTCTATTATAATGTAGGAAAACCGCACAGGAACAGCTTTTAGTTTTTAATAAGAGAAGTTTATTGTTTTAGATTTGAATACAAATTAAAGATATGTCCAAACATTACCAATGCGTTTTATTTTACGAAGTAGCCTTGTAGGATTATGTTTGAAGTACATAATTTTTCAATTTTTACAATATTCACGGAGTTAGAGAAATCGACCTTCGTATGCGCTTGACGCAAATTGCTCTCCCTTTGACACTACGGTCTTTGTAATAGCCCATATTACAGATGCAGAAGTTAGGCCCAGAACAAACTCCATTATGGCAGCCGCCAGGACAATGAGGGATACACCTGAAAAAAACAGCATAAAAAACCTATATTAAGACGTTGGTATATAGTGTAGTAGCCGGCTTGTCTGCTACTGGCACGTACCAACTGTCACACAACGTATACATAAGCAGAGACAAAATTTGTCAATGTCAATTTGCGTAACCTCTCACGGCCCATCCCTCAACATCATACAAGTAGCTACTGGCATGCCACGTGTTCACATATGCCTAGCCGACACGTACCAGTATCTGGCATCTAAGTGTGCTAGCTGTATGACTTCTCTAGTCTTAAGCAATATTTAATTAGAAATTACTATTATACCTGGTTTCCGATGGATCTTCTTTGTCCAATACATAACCTCGGTTGCAACCACATCTATTCCCTTCAATACAGTATCCATTGATACATGTCACGGAGCACATAACTTGAACATCACTGTCAGGAGAATATTGATTTTCCGGGTACAATGGCCTGTAATCCTGCCCAGGGTACGTATACATGTTTTGATTCGGAGATTGACCAGGTTGGAATGGGTAAGGACCGGGCAGGGGTTGATACTGTCCAGGTATAATCGGGTATTGGCCGGGCTGGGGATACCCGGGATGGTACGGATATTGGTTCGGTTGATTAGGATGCTGACCTGGGTGATCTCGAGAGCCATTTAAGTTGGGTAGATCAGGTCGAACAGGATGTTGTCCTGCTTGATATGGATATTGATTGGGCTGGTATGGACGATCTGTTTGGTTTAATATTTCTCCAGGCTGGCCAGATATATTGGGGTATAGTCCAGATTGAGTAGGGTATTGACTAGATTGGTCAGGAAATTGACTGGGTTGATTAGAATGTTGACCTGGCTGACTGGGATATTGACCAGGTAGATTAGGATGTTGACCAGGTTGATTAGGGTGTTGACCTGGCTGACTCGGATATTGACCAGGTAGATTAGGATGTTGACCAAGTTGATTAGGGTGTTGACCTGGCTGACTAGGATATGAACCTGGTTGGTAAGGATATTGACCTGGTTGGTTAGGGATTTGACTTGGCTGATTAGGATTCTGACCAGGTTGATTTGGGTATTGACCAGGCTGACTAGGATATTGACTTAATTGATCAGGATACAAAGTTGACTGATTCGTTTGTTGCCCTGGTTGATTTGGGTTTTGGCCTGGTTGGTATCCTGGTTGGAATTGCTGATGACCTGGCCGGTATCCTGGTTGGTTTGGATGATGACCGGGCTGCCCAGGATATTGTCCTGGTTGATCTGGACGATTGCTTGTATGATCTGTAGGATTACTATGTTGACCTGGTTGATTTGATTGTTGACCTGGCCTGTAACCTGATTGGTGTGGATACCCGGGTTGACCAGGGTATTGACTTGTATACCCAGGCTGGTTAGGATATTGTCCATGTTGATTAAGTACACCGGGTCTTACTGTTGACGAATCAATTGCTGCGAATGCGCAAACATTGGGTGCAATACAGCGACCGTTGGGTCCACATCCTCTGAAAAAAAAAAATGAGTAGAATATGTTGCTTTAATAACAACCAAATAAAGTCGAATTCTTTCTAAAGATTAATGCTGAAAACATTTTGTCATGTTGATAATTGTATTCATTTTCTAAGACAATTCAGGACACATACAAGGATTATCGTTGTTAAAGTTCTTTTTTTGTTATACTTACTGGTCACATTGTGGTACGCATTGACCTTTGTCGTCCGTCCTGAAGCCCTGACGGCAACGGCATTCGTTGGGAGCCACGCACTCGCCGTCAATGCAGTGGACGCAGGACGGTTTGCATGACCCTTGAGGTGTCGACTGATAACCGGTTTTACACTCGCAAGTATTAGGAGCTGTGCAATTACCTACAATACAAATAAAACTATAATAGTTTTTCCTCGTACATATTGCTATTTGATAATTGCAGGAGTCAGTAGAAATCAGAAAATACTCAATACATGCTCAATACATGGGTTATTCATTTGTTATTTAAAGATACTATTGAAATCATCCTATTTTTGTTTGGTATAATTGATTTTCATTAATATTGCACTCACCAATACCACCACAGTTCTCCTTACAGTCAGGTAAGCAGTACTTGCTATCTGAATCCAGCTTGTAGCCTTCTTTACAGAGACATTCGCCGCCAGAGCAGTGGCCGTTCTGACAGCCAATAGGGCACGTCGGAATACAAAATCCAGCTACATTCTTCACGTGGTCAGGGAAGCATGTGCAGGTCTCTGGTGCCGTGCATAGAGCGTTAACACATTCTTGAGAGCACACCGGGTCGCAGAGCCTCGAGTTGTGGATATTCCTCACATAGCCTTTGCAACATGATCTGATACGGCTAAGGTCTGGTCTTGACTGGAAATTAATACTCAGTTATTTTTTATTACGTAAAAGATATGTAAAAAAACTTTTACTTACGCCATTCCCGGCTGGAACGTGAGCTGGATCTCTCACCAGACTAGCAGTCCTGTAAGATACACATAATTTTATATCAACCATCCATATACATTAGCTTTCGCACGCAACTACGTCCTGGTATTAAAAAACTAAGTATCTTGTATTCTTCCAGACTATGCTGTACATCTGTACCAAATTTCATTCAGATCTGTACAGCCACAAACTCTAACAAAGATTCGTCCATGCACCCACATATGCATACGCATTTATCATACTTCATACTAATATTATAAATGTGAAAGTTTAGATGGATGGTAGTTAGTATGTTTGTTAGAGTTTGTAGCCTAAACGACTGAACGGATTTCGATTAAATTTGGTGTAGATGTAGAGGATAGTTTGAAAGAACACATAGGCTACTCACTTTCGTTTTTTTTAGTTCCACGCGGAGTCGCGGGAGAAACCTATAATATTATATAAGATTAAATGATTCGTGATATTGAATCAGATATAAGAAGTTTTTTTTTTCTTAAAAATTAAGATCATATCTGGGAGAAGAATCGGAGAGAATTCTTGCTTCAAATTGGCTGCATGTTCTTTCGTCTTAACTAAGTTTTAACGTAATGATTAGTATATTACTTACGGAACTTCAATATAGCACACGCCGACGTCATAGTTGACTGATGTCATGTCATAGCCATGCTGCGTGCGGTTTCCGAAGTACCTGCGAGGATTAACTAATAAAATAAAATTGTAAATAACAGCAAAGATCGGATAAAACAAATGATAAGTTTTGCTGAACAGTGGAACATTTCAAATCATTGTCTTCATAAAGATGTGGGAATTTACAGCTCAAAAGATTAGACAAGAGAATATGACCCATTGGTCTGTATTTAGATATTTTTGAGGTACAGATAACAAAAACGTAGTACTAATAAGGACTCGTTTGAAAATCTATTTGATAAAATCATATAGACTTAAATAACAAGGCTATCATAACACTCTTCACATATAGCTACAAAAGAAGCAAATCCGTTTTCCAAACAAAATATTAAAAAAAAAAACAATACACTATAAAGTAACGAAACAATCCTTTTAAATAGTAAACCTCCCTTATTGTAGCTGTTATGTCTATATTGCACAATTATTATTACTTCGATGTTGGTGTCATGTTGTAGAAATTCACACAGGACCTCCTCCTTTTTGAAGTCGGTAATAAGTGACTTACTTGACAAGGTTGTCACCGGCATAGTACCGGTGTCCACCTCCATGACCACCTTTGACAGTCTTCACGTACTGCGCGTCGCTGAGGACACCGAGGCATGCCAGCACCGCGACGGATGCGTAGAGCAGCATCTTACTATGTAGAAGAGACAATAATCATATTAAATGCGAAAGTTTAGATAGATGGATGGATGTTTGTTAGAGTTTGTATCCTTAATGGCTGAACGGATTTGAATGAAATTTGGCATAGATGTAGAATATAATCTGGATGAACACATAGGCTACTCACTTTTGTTCTTTTTTTAATCCTGTTAGTAAGCTAGTTCTGAATAAATATTTTTTTTTTAATATTATAAGGTGGCAAACGAGCAAGCGGCCACTTGAAACCGCCAAAATGGCGTAGCGACCGCTGCCCATAGACATCCGCAATTGCAGATGCGTTTCCTACCCTTAATCGACGGTGGAAGGAGACGCAAATAAAGAGGATATTTTCCTTCCCATCCGTCCCTCCTAAGAAAAGGGTCGAAAGGAAAAGGGACCAAAATTAGGCCTCCGGCACCACACTCATCAGACGAAACGCGGAATTGCTTTCACTTCACGCCTGTTATCTGTGTGATCGTGGTATTACACCGTGCAAGCCGACACATTTTTGCGAAGATGAGCGGGCTCTACCACTGTTAAAATACTGTTTGATAAATAAATAAAAAAAATTATTCCACAAGGTGACTTACTTATGCGATTAGTCATATGTACAATGATAGAATAGTTAATATTAAACTATGACTTACCGTTTATTTAACTGGTTGGACTTCTGCACTGATTGGCATTCGAAGTGGCACTGACATTATTGTGCGGCATCAGTGATATCACCAATGTCTCTAAGACGCAATGATTTGGTTCCGTATTTAAATTATTTAAACTTTCGTGAGAGATTTATAAATAATTATTTTACGGCTTACTCACGTATACTTTTTTCATGTCAACAACATCAACAATGACTCATCAATATTGAGCTCGTCGACATCGTCGCCGCCGGCGCACGCAATGGCAACTGCACCCCCGGTACCCCCCGCTCCCTCAAGCCGCACCCTTCGAGCGATGGCCCGCAGTGCGAGGCGCGACGCGACCGCGATACAATATCTTTAACCCTCGCCCTGAAGAAGGACCCCCGCAGGGTCTGAAACTGGTCGGTGCCGTCACCGAAAAAAGTATGACGTGAGTAAGTCGTTAAATAATTAATGGTTCCATATTGTTTGCTACTGCAGAATACAGACTTTTCTAATTGACAATAAACCGATATACTTAAAGACCTACATTTTAATGTCCAACGCTAACTATAGTTAATAAGATAGAGGCAATAATATGACATAAAATGGTTAGTAATATCGCCCCGTTTTCCAGAAACTTCTTGATTGCATTGTTTAGAATAAAACCTAATTCTAACCGTAACATCCATCCATCATACATCCATACAGTTAGTAAGATTGTTATCTTACTAGTATTATAAAATGCAAAAGTTTTACTGCACAGATGATAATTAGAATTTGTAGCCTAAACTGATAAACAGATCTCGATTTTGGCATAGAAATATAGGATAGTGTGGAAAAATATATAGGTTATTTTTGTTTCACGCGGTCGGAGTCGGGGGAAAGCTAGTACAATATGTTTATCATTAATAGTGTTACGGAACGCTAACAGCATTAGGTTATAGTGTCGAAGTATATCGGAAATGATGAGATAATGCAATCATGTTTTGCATTTACAGTTTCTCTAGAATCTTAATATAACAATAATAAAAGCTTCTTAATCTTTTTCTTAATAATGATTGAGTAAGTAAGTGTAGTTTGTCATTGAAGTGAACGTTCGTATCTACCCTTCTTGGTTCAGGGCGTGGTAGTGTTTTGTTTTTTAAAAGTAATCACTTGTAATCACAATTCCAGATAAAGATTCCACAATTATATAGTTGTCGTTTCATAGAATTACATTGACCTTTTGGTTTCTAAGAATAATAAGTATTTGTTGACATACGTGTTATTTGCTGTTTTAGATTTAAATAAGGAAAGTAAGAAATATCGTTAAAAGAGATTAAAATTTCTATATTGATTGTTTTTTTTTAAAATAAAATAGTGGTTATTATCTACGAATACTTTATTTATTTCCTATTCTTAATAATATGAGTACAAATTAAAAGTACTATAATGTCTTTGGCATAAATTAGAACCTACGTAATACTAAAAACATTCATAAACACTAATATACAAAGACTGCCATCTGTTGGTTACTTTAGAAAACTTTTTCACATTGCTGCGATCATAACTCCGTTATAGCTTCTCCGTTTAGATTGAGTATTTCTATAGCGTGTTCGGAAGGTGGTCGCCAGCATGGTATTTCAGCATATAAAGGTTCTGAGGTAGATGTATCAATTACATCGAGTTTGGCTTCACATTTTAGTGCATCTATCGTGGAGTCGTTTACGGATCTTGATTTTTGACACCGTAGTTCTTGAGAGTAGCTCATAGATGGCGCTGCAGCAAAACGAGTAGGCATCGTGCCGAAATCGTGATTTCTTCGAGGTAAATGGTCATAATGACATTCCAATATACCTAAAATAAAATAAATAAATTAGTATATTTAGTTCAACAATATTTTTATTTTAGTAAAGTAACATTAGTATTGTAATAGGGGAAAATAAATTTCATTTACCTCTAAAGTTTTCCAACATTATAGGCGAGATGTTTTGCACTACAACCGGCCTCATAAACTGTTTCAAATTTCGATCCAAAGTGGATATTGGTTGGTAATGACATTTGTCAGACGGAGGTTCTGAAACAATAGAAAACAAAAATTAATAAAAACAAATAATCGAAAAAAGTAATGGCCCATGAGGGGATCGAACCCGCGACCTTCGCGTTATTAGCACGACGCTCTAACCAACTGAGCTAATGGGCCGATGTTTGCAGCGTTGAATTTTTCGATTACATACCTTTTAATAATTATTTTTAGACTTAAAATGAGGCAAAAGAGTTTGATGTAAGTCTTAAATGCTAGGCATAATTTAAATTACCTGGTAAAGGCGTATGGAAGATGCTTCTCGTGTATGGCGGCGGTGCGTCGTTATTGTCTATCATAACTTGCATTCTAATATCATTGACTTTCCTCACTTCTTCAAACCTGGGCCTCCTGCAGCGTTCCACCATGACGATGAGGACTGCCACGGTGATAACTGCCATCATCACTCCACCAGCTATACTCACTACTGATATTAAGTCCATTGACGTTCTGTCTCGCTCTTTTTCATTCATCACAGCTGTGATATGCTCGGGCTCTGTTAAAATATGAAAAGTTTCATCGTCTGGTTCCTTCGTTGTTAAATGTTTAGTAAAATTTTTTGTTAAACTCTTTTTGGGATCTTTAATTTTCGTTTCTGTTATATTCATTCTTGTTAGTACCTTTTCAGGCTTTTTAGTCGTCTTTAAATTTGGAATTGGCTTTGTGCCATTTTCAAAAATAATTCTCTTATAAACCATTGAGGTTAGAGTTGTAGTTTCCAGGAATACCGGCTTAATGGGTCTCATGGTGGGTTTCTTAGTTACTTTTTCAACGGTGGTCTTTGGTGTAGTCGTGGTACTGTTAGTCGAAGTTGAAATTGTTGTTAGGAAGGTAGAGGGGTTCAATCTTGAAGTGTTTGTCTCCATGCTTGCCATGCTGTTAGTTGTACTAGGACCAGATATTGTCATGTTGGACAATAAATCTTTATCGTTCAAAGTTTGAAGTGCTGACACATTCTTACGTATTTTCGGCGCGGAATTCGAAAAAGTGCTTATGTTTTTCGGAACGTTACTTGATATTATTATTTTTTTAATGAACGGTGGGAGAGAAGTTTGTGATGTCATTGATGACGTAAACCCATGTTCAGTTTTATTAAGTTTAGTAATAACATTCGTGTTTTTCGTTGTTAGATAGGAAGAAGTGGTGAGAGCGATTTTTTTGAAAGTAGCATACGATACTGATGTCGGTATTATTGAAACAATGATGGTCCTTGGTGTTGTGAATTCTGATGAATTCTCTTTCTTGGTCGCGACTCGATTTCTTGGATATACTGATTCATGATTTGATTTAATTTTAAAGTCAATAACAGTAGATTCACCTTTCTGCGTTGGTTTAATCCAAATTTCTTTTGGTTTGAATTTTATAGTTGATAGAGCTCTCGTTGTTGTTTCAGGTCTCTTTGTAGTTTCTGTTTTTGTAGTCAGTTCGTTTTCCGTTGATGTAAATACATTTGCCCTTGTTGTATACGGTGAACTCTTGTTCTCAACTGTAGATATAGTTGGTTTCTTTGTACTTTCTGTAGTAGTGATTATTGCATTGGTCGAAGTAAGTATCGTTGTATCAATGTATGGGGTTGTAGATAAAATATCCAATGATATTTCGGTTCTGTTGTATATTGATTCTGTATATTTAATATCTCTTATAGTTGATAGAATTCTTGTACTTGTAATAGGGATTGTAGTTTCCGTTGGAATTGTCACATTTTCGTATTTTACAATCGGGGTAGTTGTTAAAGTTACGGTAGTGCTTTCAACACTTTCGTATTGATTTCTTCGAGCTGATAAATTTTCCTTTTCGATATTTGATGCTGTTGTTAAATTAATTTCTGTAGTAGATGGTGCCTCCTTAGATGATGACGTCACTATATTAGAAGTGGTTGATTTAGGAGAAATTGAGGTAGTGCTAAGAGAACTAGAACTATGTTCAGAAGTTAATGGAGTCGTCACAGTACTAGTTTCTAATGTGGTACTAGCAGTTGATGCATTGCTAATAGTAGTTCTACTAAGAGGTGTTCCAGTTGGTAGAGGATTAGTAACAGTTGAAGTTTTTGATGTTGTTAGTAACTCTTCCAACGCAGTTGTCGTTGCTTGTGTAGTTGACATGCGGAATTCGCAGCTGTAAAACGAAGAAAAGTTTTGTTACTAGTTAGAACCAAGCACTTTGTTAAAAAAAGAAATGAATTTGTTCTGTGATTTCTACTACAAAGGCAAAAAGTTTGCATGACGTGGCCACCCACCTCTCACCTTGCCATCCATCCTCGCACTCGCAGTCACCAGTAAGCGGCGAGCACACGCCATGGTCAGCACATTGTGTGCAGTTGTACACGCAGTTTGGGCCCCACTTGTTCTCCGGACAGTCTGAATGTAGTCAGCCAAATTATTCAAACATTTCTTCACATAAGAAAAATCTTTTTGGAAATCAACAGAACATAGACATTACCATCTGAACATCCTTGACCGGTCTTCCCGTAAGGACAAATTGGTACACAGGACACGTCTTTCATTTTGTATCCTGGACAGCATACGGCTACTTCTGCTGTGCGTTCTTCTGTCTGCAAATTGAGATAGATACAATGTACTAACAAATTACTAATTTAAAATTCAATAATTTTAATAATACTATAATCAATTCTATTGTTCATTATTCTGTTAACCACATATTAACGATGATTCTAGTTATTGTAATCGAAAGAGGAAATGACAAGGTTATGATATCAACAGTTTTACCAGCTAGTGTTGGTGTTAATTGGTCATTTATATCAAATGGATATATCAGTTAAAGCACTAAAAGCAATTGGAAAGAAAATTCTTAAAACGTTTCGATGACATTTCAATAGTGTGAATGAAATCAGTACTCATGAGTTTATTCAAAACTATACATTTAAATTATCTTTCTGGTTTTTGTAATTGTGTGTTAGTTTTATTAAGGGGAAAAACCTACTCATCGGCTATCGGGCTTAGGCTCATTGGTTATTACTTTTCAAATCAGGCCTAAACATCCGATCAATGCTCTTTTTTTTCTACCATGAAAATGTCATTAAGTTTCCTTGGGGGTTGTTCCATCTCTGCTTTTTCTGTGCTATTAGTTTTTGTTTGTGTGTGTAATAATGTTACCTCTAGCCGCGTGAGGTCTCTCATCTCCGTACTCCAGCGTGAGCAGCGCGGTGGCATGGAAAAGCACCACTCGTATGTTCGCACAGACATCGGCGCGCGGTACTTCACTCGCTTCGTTATATTGTATCTGGAATTAATAAAAAAACTTATGATATCATATGTTAAGTAAATAAATATCTCACACCTGAAAAACAAGACAATGTCATCATCACCAGCTCACTAATGGTCCCCACTGGAGGCTCGGAGCATACCTTAAGTTATGACTAGGCCATAGTCAACCATGCTGGCCCAGTGCGGATTGGTTGACTTTACAAATATCTTTGATTTTCTTCGGAGATATGTGCAGATTGCAACACGATGTTTTCCTTCCCTTTAAGAACGTTGCGTAAATTATATACTAATGGAAATCGAAAATCATATTGGTACATGGCGGGTGTCGAACCCGTCCTGTAGATTACAAGCAAGTGCTTAAACCGCTGAGCCACCCTCTTACACTATGCATTTGAGCTGAAATGTTTGAAGACTAGAGAAGTATACTAACTTCTGCTTGACCATGCACACGTTGGGTCCGCTGAGGCTGGCCACCTCCGCTAGTACGGCGACGGTAAGCAGTGCGCCCCAAAGCTGCGCCCCGGCGCCGCGCCATCGCACACACCGCATCCTGCTCACTAAGGGTGCCAGTCCATTGTCACTATCTGCACTTGGTTTCTTCTCCCGTATGCTTACTAAATAAAGGAAGTTCTATATTAACTGCAGGAATTAATGAACTTAATTCAAATTGTATTAGTGTTCAGAGTTCAACATGTTTTCTGTGTCGCATAACTTTAGTAATAATCTTTGTACCCTACACCAAATCTTCTTTATAAAATTACTAACCATATCTAACTAATGTAATATTTATTATAAGATCAGTCGCACACCTTTGAGTAAACTATCAGACAACTGCTGTGATATTGTCGATTGTTTCGCAATATTCATCTGTTAAGTTGCACAACTAAAAACTCAAGAATCAAAGTGCGACTAAACAGTCCTGCGATAGTTTAGTCAAAGATGTGCGCGCGCTCTAAAAGTAGAGATGGATGGATAGATGTTAGTGTTGGTAACCTAAACTGCTAAACGGATCTCGATGAAATTTGGCATAGATGTAGAGAATAGCTTGTAAGAACAAATAGGCTATTTACTTATTGACCGACATCCCAAAAGAAGGAGGTACTCAATTCGTCTGTTTTTTTATGTGTGTTATTTTTAATTTCACAAGGACGAAGTCGGGGACGGAAGCTAGTACATAAAAACAAAATATTTTGGATTTGAACCAGCGACCAGTTTATGTGAGGCGTGTTGCCGATCACTGCGTTAGCAAGCCCTTTTACTATCACACACTAGTCTCAATTAATTCCGTTGCCCTGTTCGCCCCCCATCCTGCCCAGTTAGTTGACCCGCGTTACTGCCATCTCGTCACGTAATAATCACCAATAAATGGTTGGTTTACTGGTTGGGGGCAATTATATCTGTCAGGAAGATTATCTTCTATAAGTATACCTTTCGCACGCAAGTGTATTAAAAAGAAACTAAACACTAATTTAATCTGTATTTATTTAACTTTCCATTCAGATCTGAAGTTACTGGAGCCGTTCTTGGGTTATTTGATAACAAATAAACATCCAAACTTTCGTATGAGATAAAATTCTTAGTAACTGTATTATCCTAAAATGTAACTTTTGTTTTGCTTAAATACCGATCTTTTTCATTGACTGTTGAATACTAGCTGTTGCTTGCGACTTCGCCCGCGTGAAATTAGAAGATAATACAAAATATAGCCTTTGGTGCTTAAAAATAACGTAGCTTTTTAATGGTGAAAGAATTTTTAAAATAGGCCCAGTAGTCATTGCGTGGATCAAATACTAAAATACAAATCTTTCCTCTTTATAATATTAAGTATATATTAATATAACAATGTTTTTACAAAATACAAGAGTTACTTGTTTAATTGTTAATATTTCGACTCATGTAATAATAGATTAATTAAACAGACATTGTGTCGCCATCATTTTTAGCAAACTGTTAACGTGAAATAAACTGTACTCCCTAAAAATAAAATTTATAATTGCTTAAACTACTGTTCTAACATAATCGGAAAATCTGCCAGACGAAATTATGCCTTACGCACATGCAAATACGGTTTCATATAATGTTATAAAGGTCGGTGCACACTTGTTCATGAATGTAGTGGTGCGTGCACACGTGCTGGTAGCAATTGCCCGCAGGATGTGAGAAGATGCCAGCTTTATCAATCGAGGCGACGACCTCTTTTTGGATTGTCAATGGAGTTAGAAATTTCTTAGGGTCTGTGCACATGATCCTTGTTACTTTGAAATTTCATTTTACATTGCAAATAGGTGACATGCAATTTTAATTTACATGTTAAGTATGATAGCCTTTTTAAATTATAGGTTTTTAAATTATAGTTATTTACTCCAGCTATTGTTTATTAGTATACGACAGAAAAGCCTCCTATCTCTTTCTTACAGAAGATTTATTTCTTTTCTTAGAGTAATTTTGCTCTATAAAGTACAAAGCTATACTCTTGATTTCACATTCATTGCCCGAATCATTTTGTTTGTTATTGTTTCCAAAGAAAACATCGATGTTAAAACAATATTGTTGTTATATTAAATAGATAATTGGAAATTCATGCATTGTTTATTTTTATTGTATGCGACTATACATTGTGCGGGAATTAAGAGCCAACGCGAGTTTCATTGTCGAAATATCAATAAGATATCCTACAAGAGCCTGTATCTATTTTTAAAGTATTCTGGCGGTTTAACAGTGGTAGAGCCCGCTTTAACATCTCCGCACGAATGGGCCGGCTCGACCGGTGTAATACCACGACCACACAAAAAACAGGGGTGAAGTGGAAGCAATTTCGAATTTCGTCTGATGAGTGTGATTCCCTTTCCACCCTTTTCTTAAGAGGGGAAGGAAAAGTGGATTTGACGGTGGAGACGCATGGGAAGGGGAAATGTCCTCTTTATGTGCATCTCCTCCTCCGTCGATTAATGGCAGGCAACGCATTTGCAATTGCGGATGTCTATGGACAGCGGTCGCTCTCCATGTCGTTGGATTCAGGTGGCCGCTTGCTCGTTTGCCTTATATTATAAAAAAAAGTACTTAACAGTGGTAGAGTTCGCTTTAACATCTGCACGAATTGGTCGGCTCACCCAGTGCAATGCCACGACTACATACAAGCGTGACGTGGAAGTAATCCTGTATACAGTATGATGAGTGTGCGTGCCGGAGATCTTTCTTGTTCTTTTCGGACAAAGAACGGATTCGAAGTGGAAGTAGTTATGGTGGAGAATAGAACGAATAGGTTGAGGAAAATACTCTTACTGTGCGTACCCAACTTTTTTGATCAAATGTAAGGCACTTGCCACTTTTAACTATACAAAAAAATCTTCTTGGACACTGACCTCGGTCGGGCGTTGCCTAGCTTTGCTAACCGCTTTTTATACAACAGGATATCAGTGTTGCTAGTTATATTTACGACATATTTTATGAGCAATTTGTGCGCCGATGGACGGAAGAGCGCTGTTCGGGCCCCTCTATTAGACCTAGTTGCAATGTCTGTCGGCTGACAAAACATAGCCCGTATGTTTGTGCGTTTGATTGATTGTAACGACGTGTAATGGACACCTGGGCTTTGAACTCGGATGCTTAAGTGGCCGGGTAATGCGGTTCTATTTACCAATTGTGTTGTTTTACCCAACTATTACGATTGCGTGCAATAATTCGTACGTTGTCAAGTCGGATAGAAGTTCTTGTTCCCGTCGTGCAAATACAAAAGCCAATGTACTAATTGCGAAACATCCTGTGAAAATTTTAATAACTAAAGATGTTTTTGGGCAAAGTAAAATTACTATCTTATTGAAATAGGTGAAACTTCATCTTACTAATATATTACAAGCGGGAAAGTATGTGTGTATTATTGGATCCAAATTTAGTAAGAAAAATAGAGCATTGTTTGGAAGAACATATAGGTTATTTAATTTTAATTCCCAGCGGACTGAGTTACTGGCGACAGCTACTTTATAGTACAAACGAGAGCAAAAAATCTCTATGAAAATGGGATACATTCATTAATATTCCAGGGAATTTCTTTTAAAGCATCGTGTGAATGTAATTTTAATTCCCATAACGCAATATCTGTCGCCTGTGGGGCAGCGCGGCATGCTCGATGACAAATAGCTTTAACGACTCCGCCATGTGCCTCATTGATGTTAATAATGTTTAATTTAATGTTAGCGTTGACACGAACGACCAATGAATGCTTATAAAGGAACGGAGAAAGTGTAGCTGTTTCTGGATAATATAGCTATTATACGAGGGACAATTGAGTGGGACGTCGGGTATTTGAGTTGTTTTAAAAAGGCGGCATAATATCTGTTGCAGATGCGTAGCTAAAGTAGACAGAGAGATTAAAGTAACAATTAAATTAAATTCAGAATTTCAGAAATTCTCCCACTTGATGCTTGTCTTCTGTAGTCGTGATATTAAATCGGTCATTCGTTTAGTTGCTGTTTTCACCAATTTTGTTAAAATGCGTGATAGTGGTTTAAAAATTAATTATTTTATGATATGTGGATTAAATTACTCAATGTTTTGTAAAACATGCCTTTGTTTATAAAATTAAAACTGTTACAAATCAAAACACGTTGAGGTGTCTCATGACTTAAGATGAAGTGGTTTAACTTTTTCATAAGAATATTTTTATAAAACTTATCTAGTTAAACTGATATTATAAAGAGTAAAGGTATGTATTTGAATTACTCAAAAACTACAGGGCTGATTTAAAAAATTCTTTCATTTTCAAAGTTATCTGTAACATAGGCTATATTATTTTTTAATTTCACGTAGTTGAAGTCGCGAGCGACAATTAGTATATTTTATAAATTTGAGATGTAAGAAATTGTTGTTTGTATATTGAATATAATACAAAAAAAAACGTACAAAATATAGTACCGTTTTTAGAAATTCTGTTTATAAAAACTTACTTAATAATAATTTTGGAGGAATTTAAAGTAACAAAGTTCAGTATTTGTTGCTCTATAAAGTAACAACGTTTCCGGTTAATGATATTAAAGGTTCTAGCGAGCACTCAGCTATGCTCACGATAAAGGGAAGTCTAACGTCGTTGACTGTTAACTTATGCTTCAGGTATATTCGTTTTTGAAAAGGCCGCTGTTTTGTTCAGAGATTATTATAATTTTTTTTCTTTTCAGTTATTCTAGCCAGTCAATTTAAAATGTGTCTTATAAGATTTTTTTAAACTTTTTATCATTTAATGTTTAGTGAGGGGTACAGTCTGTAAAATACTGGTGCAGTGCAAGTTCATAATAATTAGTGAAGTCCCCTTAACGACATTTAAAAAAAAAACTATTTACTTTTATTTATTCTTCATAAGTATTTTAAAAAATATTTATTACCTATAAAAAACTGGTTTCCTAATTAATAAAAAAATCAATACCTGTTTAGTTAAACACACAAACACTAAAACACGTTTCACACACTACAAAAGTACCAGGTAACAGAAATGTTCAGGAGCGCGCGTCTCGCGACGCGGTTGCCACACAACTGGACTGGGATGGCTCTGGGATGCTGCGACTGGGAACAAGGGACGCTGTAACTGCTTTCTTAGAAATAGGGATAGGTGCCACCCTTCGTATTGTTTTTGTCGACATGTTTTTGTGAACGCACAGTTACTAGTCCCTAAGTATAAACATTTCTCATTGAAACAGACTTTTAATATAGTAAAGATCGCTTTGAAATAAAGAAGAGAATCGCTTCGAAAGATGTTTTAAGAATTGAGAGGTTTTTTATCTATACTATTATAATAAAGCGTAAACACACACTTCTTTGTTGCCTAAGATGTCAGCAATCACAGCATATTTTTGAATTATTCTTTTTTTAATAATAATCCCTACACTTACGTCACGCTTTAGGCTGTTTATTTAAACTTAGTCGGTAAATATTTTGCATAAAAACCCTAATATAGGAAAGAGGCCATAAGTTGCTGCCAACATCAAGGAAGCAAGATTGCCATAGTAAGGTAATTGGTATTTTGACATTTGCAATTGATAATTTGACACATGTAAACAATAAAATAAAATTTTCATAATTTTATGCGGATGAAGTCGCATGGGAACAGCTAGTTTAAAAATAGTTTATGTAAATATAATTCGTCTGGTGTAACCGCGCATGACAAATACAACTTAGAAATTTATTTGAGATATTATTAAAAAAATATACTAAAAAAGTTAGATAATTACTTCGTATCTATTGAAGAAATAAAATTAATAACCTGAAATAAAACGTCCACTTACCTTCTCGATACTTTTTCTCTGTTTACTCTAATCTTGATTGCTTGCTCTCATTTTTTAATTCAGCCAGTTCGAATGTATTGTATCAACATTGTAATTAGCACAAAACTAGTTTTTAATAATCTTGGTATCACATTTAACAATTGGCTATTGTCATTTGTTATAAAATAAACTGAGTTAAGGTTGACGCTCATTTGTATTTTGCTAGCAAATGTGCAAGTGTGTGATGTCCTTTATTATTCTTACAGGATACAAGACATATTTTTTTAAAATTAGAATGTGCTTAACTTTTCATTCATCAATTCATCTGTCGTGTACTATTTTTTGGCCGATAGTGTTTTTTAAGGCTTAATAATTATATGATAATTAAACCGTAATAAGCATTTACTATAATTAAAATTAAATGCTGGTCATTTTTGCGAGTGGCTTTGGAAGGAATAAAAAAAAACTAAGCATAAAAAACATAGGGAAGCATAAAGGAAATAGTATGTTTGTCTACGATTAAATGCAGTTTTATCATGCATCAGCAGACTGGTTAACCTCGTTGTTGAAATTGCGTAGTTAATAGTAAAGTGGGACGAAATTGCAACATAAAATTTAAATTGTTTGGCAGGACAAACTTGGATATTGTCTATACTAAATTAAGGGGAAATAAATATTGCATTGAATAGGCTAAAAGATATTGAACAAATTTTATTTTTTTTTTGTTGTTTTTACAAAGCTACTTCGTCGTTGAGTAAAATAGGGTAAATAAAAACGGGACAACAACCGGACGGATGTCGATATGACAGAAAAGATGTACGTTATATTTTCCATCCTAGATCACTAGTACTACTCACTACTATTTTCGATCACTAGTTTCGCATGTTTTTTCTGATAAAAGACTGTCTGGTAGCTAATTTAATTCAGCCAAGAATTGGAATTAGCCATTTTCTTACATAAGGGAATAAAGTTGTCCAAAGGAGCCACTTAAGTTGTAGATATTTATTTTTTTTGCATTACATCCTTTTAATTGATCCATTTTAGATTTTTGTAAAATATCATTTAAAAATAACACAAACAACTTTGTTGTCTCAATTTCAAGTTAAATTGATAGCACTTAAGTTATACTAGGAAACCAGAATTAAGTTACTTCGGACACTAAGAAAATGTACTAGGGTGTCATCTTAAACGAGAGGTTTGAACAAAACAACTTTATTAAAAACTTGTTCAAGCTATTTCAAGTCTTAAAACATTCGCTGTTGAGTATAATTTAGGTTGTAAAATTGGGTAGTAATGTAGGGACTGTAATTCAATAAAAGCAGACGACACAGTCGGGGAGATGAAGCCAATATTATAGCTACAGCTTGTGGTAACAGGATATTATGTTATATAATGCATCCATTCCTTAAGCAATTTCGACCATTGCGGCCTAAAACGATCCTGAATAAAATAAAAATATATTCGACTCTACTGGTATGAAAAATATTACAAATTAAGTTGGTAAAAATAAGTATAGTTTCAGTTTTAATCTAAGAAAAATTGTCTTTAAATCGAATCCCTTTAATAAAATTTAGCAAATAATATTTCCTATGATATTGCTCTATGTAAAATAAGAGGGTAAATTGGCAGCAAAGATTAGTTAATCATTCTGGCTCTTACGGTAAATCAATGAAGTAAGTAAAATAGTTTATGTAGGAATTATTAAATAAGATTATATTTAGGAAAATAAAGGCTTCTTAAAGGCTCTATAAATCTTATTTACTTCTTTACTTAAGTTTTATTAAAATAGAACTTAGACAAGTTAAGGAGTCCTTTTTTTCTAAAATAGCTAGCAGATGAACTGTTTAAAACATGAGAGGGAAAACAGTTGTTTATTACTTTAGTGGCGTCGTAAAGTCGGGAGTTGTCGGCGCCTTTGATGTTTACTGGCTAGTGTAACTGTGACATTCTCAGTAAGGGAGAGTCCCTCTGAAAACGTTATTTCTAAATAATTTGACCGAGAAATACGTTGCCTGTATTTGTAAAGTGTATTATTTATATTTTTATTAAGTAACCTTTTAGTTACAGCCAGTTAAAACCATTAGCGAGTTTTTGGAATGAATTCTTTAAATTATTTTAAATACAATGTCATATGATGTTTTCAAAGTTCATTACTAGATGGCGGTTTTTATTGTAATTGTTTTTGCAGATATTTTTGTTGGTCGATAAAGATTCTGTGAATATTATTTATATAACTTAACTATTCCTTCACAGCCTTACAAAAAATCACGATAAAAAGTTAAACTTAGGAATAAACTGAGTATATATTAGTACAAATTTTGCTTATACTCAGTTTATTCCTAAGTTTAAATTTTTACCGCGTTTATTTGTAAAGCTGTATTAGTTTAAATATGAATACTCTCATAGAACTTAATAACCCTATTTGTGTTATGCCCGCATGCGTTGTTAATTCTAAATTCCACCATAGATATGAATCTTTACCTAAATTATTTAACTATAGCAAGTAAGGGTGAATTAAAAACTTTTATATATAACGTTATGTAATTTGTAGGTAACGACTAAACTGTGGTTATTTTATATTATTGAAGAAAGTAAGAAAAATAACATAAACCTTTACTTTCAAAATTTATTTATTATATTACGTATGCAAACACATAATATGATACATCAATATATTTACACAATATACATATAATTATTAAATTACAGATATACGTATAAATTAATAAACAAGATAAATGACACAAAATAATAATTAAAATCTTTAAGACAATTTTAACAGCATTTTATTAAAACCAACCTCTAAAACAAAGTTACGAAACGTAACATAAATCACAGTAAATTATAAGAAAACAAACATAAAAGACAGCATTAAAAAACATAAGTGATAACACATAACATTTTTATCCGAATATATATTGGTGGTATCCTAAAATATTTTAACTTGTAATGTAATTACAGTCTAAGTTACAAGTGACGTGATTATCGTGTGCGAACACCGTATACTGTAGCGAGGAATGACGTCACAAGTAAGGTGACGAAGCTTGTGACGTCATAATTTCTGACAGCCGCGTTGTAGAACCCTCCATAGACTTGAAGGCCTGCGGTCTCGATACTGGAAATTGTATAGAAAATTTAGTAAAAAAAATACAAGTTTAGTATATTTCTAGCAAAAATCATTCAGTTGTTCAGTTATAAATTACGCAGTAATTTCATAAGTTGATAAATAACTATTAGTTGAAAAATGTAAAGTTCAACGATTCATTATAGTTGTACGAAGTCTGTGATTGAGTGTGCTTGTGGAAGCTCAGCGGATGTGTAGGTCAATTCTGTGCGACGACCTCTAGCGGCGCATAGGGACAATCTGACCTTCTGAATATTCATTGATGATCTTTATATTATACTTTGTTATTGTTAAATAACTATGTAAAATAAATAAAATCATACTTAATATTATAAATGCGAAAAATTAGTTGGATGAATGAATGGATGTGTGTTTGTAGTCTTAACGGCTGACCGGATTTTGATGAAATATGGCTTAAATGTAGAGGATAGTCTGGAAGAATACGAAATAAATAAAATTATTTTAAATTCCAATAACATTTAGATAATAACTAGCTTTCACCCGCGACTCCGTCCCTGGGGAATTAAAAAAAGTAGCATATGTGTTCTTCCAGATTATCCTCTACATCTGTACCAAATTTCATTGAGATCCGTTCAGCCGTTTAGGTTAGAAACTCTAACAAACACCCATCTAAACTTTCGCATTTATAATATTAGTATGAAGTATGATTTATTTAAATAAGGTAGCGATAAGTATTTAAAAAGTACTATACCTAAATTTACAATAATCTCCATCGTAACTCCAACCGAGATATTCTCCAGTGCGCAGATTCTCGCTGTGCAGCCATTCTTCGAGCGGACGGAAGTAGTCTCGTAGAGCCTCCCCGCTTAATCTCCCCTCACCGATACTGTCCTGCAGTACCTGCATCCAGGGGGCTGAAGAACCTCGCTCCATCAGACGCCTGGAAGAAATGTAATGTAATTAATTTTGGAACTCAATTTTAACAAATATTTACTTTCCTATCGCCAGGCTATTTAAGACATTTGAATGTATCCGATTAGTCAAAAAACGTCCATTACTGACATCTATAAAAGCAACAAAGATACCTTATAATAATCAGTTTAAAAAGTAGTCAGTTTAGACACATCCAGTTTTTTTATTAAATTAAAAATGCAAAAATGTTTACGACCTCAGTAATTTAAAGATTTTAATCGCAACATAAATAAAGTGTAGAATTTTGAACAATAATGCACATGGCATTCGAATAAACGGAACGTTATAATGATTTTTGATTACAATTTGATATTAAAAATGCATGTTTCGTAACAAAACCGGACTCCTCGTGACCGTGATTATGTGAATTTGACAATGACATAGTTATTATAATTTTGATTAACAAACTAAACTCGGGTGTTATGGTGTCCATATTGGTTAAGGTCAAGTTAAGGTCAAGAAAAGAAATTAAATCTTATACTTTCTCTGCTTTAATTAATACTAATATTGATGCTTATAACATCAAATGCCTAATTTAAGTCCCTTTTCTTTACCACCCTTTTCTTATAAGAAGTTGGGAAGAGGAAATGGATTTGACGGTGGTGGAGATGCATACGAAGGGGAAATATCCTCTTTATGTGCGTCTCCTCCTCCGTCGTATTAGGGTAGGCAACGCATCTGCAATTGCGGATGTTTATGGGCAGCGGTCGCTTCGCCATTTTGGCGGTTTCAGGTGGTTGCTTGCTCGTTTGCAGCCAATGTTATAATAAAAAATCAAATTAAAAAAGACAAGACAGGTAATCTTATCATAGTATCGTGATTAAATCTATACTATAATATTATAAAGAGGAAAGATTTGTATTTTTGTATGTATGAAATAGCTCAAAAACTACTGGGCCGATTTTAAAAATTAACATAGGCTATATTTTTTAATTTCACGCGGGCGAAGTCGCGAGCAACAGCTAGTTAAATATAAACTCAACTTAACAATTAAAATTTCTGAAGCTTTTAGAATATACTTTATGCTTTTGTCAGGGTGACATTACTTTGATCTTATAAAAGCTCAATATATCATTCCGATATCGTGTATTCACCATTGTGATCGTAATCGCAATATAAAATGGGCAAATCACGGCAAATTACTATAGAGTAGTTAGTCAAGTGATATATCCGGCAACTGGAGCTAGATACAGGCCACGGGAAAGTGGTCGAACAAGCCACGGTGATCAAGGAAGACCGCTGGCTAACATCGAATGGTTTACATAACAGATACAACAAGGTACAATCAAGGAATCTGTCAGTGTAAAAACTTAAACGGTACGACCGCATTATATATGGTACAAGAACTTATAGGACGCAGCTTTTAAATGTGTCTGTACGATAAAAAAGTTGGTCGTACGCGGCTAATTGCTTTTTAGTATTATTCCGTTTGTCCAACTAATTGTTGTTTTTTGTAAGAAGAGACGGATTTACTTATCGCAAGGATTAAGGCGATGGTTCGTAAAGTGTAAACTGCAGGTTTCCGTGACTGTACGTATTGTTTTACGGTAGTCGGGACATTGTGTAAGCCTGCTCTAATTAACGCAACTGGACCGGCTTTAGTCAAATATACCTTTCTACTAAGATAAGTTTGATCGCTTAGCTATTTAGAATATGTTTTATCCGTGATCAAAAGTTACGTTCTATGCTCGATAATTCATTTGCTTAATGTATTTAATTTCGAGTTTATCAGTTTCATTACCTTATCATAATAATATTTTAAATGTGAAAGTTTAGATGGATGGATGGATGTTTGTTAGAGTTTGAAGCCTAAACGGCTGAACGGATTTCGATGAAATTTGGTATAGGGGTAGAGGACAGTCTGGAAGATAACATAGGCTACTCACTTTTGTTTTTTAATATCACGCGGACGGCGTCGCAGGCGAAAGTTAACATGAATAAAGATTAGATTTAATGTGTTATTTTTTCTTTCCTAAGATTTTACTCTCATAGAAGTAAGTTCTTTTTTTAATTTCAAAAGACATGGTAAGCACCGAAGCGAATAGCGGAAACAGGAAGATGTCAGGACGGTTTATGGGTGACCTAAAAAAACACATCCGTGCATTCAAAGCCTTCTTTGAAAACAGGAAGATATGGGGTTTCATTTCCTTTTTGGGTCCATTCATTCCCCGTAAGGCTTCTTTTATAGCACGTTTTTATCATATTTGTGGCATAGTATCCATTCCCAGATACATCTAGAAAAAACATTTAAAAAGTGGTTTTTTCATAAACAATGAGTACTACATCTGAATTTTATAATGATTCTATGTAAGAGCGTGAACACACCTGATACTAAAATATCGCACAACTGTAGTCTCACTTTGATTCCTATGAGCTTATATAGAGGTGCCCATACTGCTTTAATTGTGCAACTAAACAGTTCAATTGGCTGCGAAACAATCGACAATCGCACAGCGGTTCTGCGTTAGTTTTGTCAATAGCTCGCTCTTAATACCACACGTGTACACACGCTTTTATCTATGTTAATACGAGAATTAATTACCTATTCACTTGTTCACATTGTGTTGTCCGAAATCTATCATCCAAAACGTTTTTATCGATTAGGAATTATTAGACCATTTCACTGACATTACAGTTCACGGAATTCCAATAATTCATTCGGCATATTAATTACATCAGTCGGCATACGACCGGTCATGGCATCTCGTTAGATGGCGCGGTCGAGCGAAACGCGGCGAACCAATGTAATGCGTATTCGCGTGAATAATTTCATTATTTACCAAACTATTGTCTAGACGTGTTGAATAACATACAATATGAAAACGTTTAAAAAGTAAAGGTTATAAACAAAAGTTTAATAACAAGGAAGATCGGGGAGTTCCGGTCAAAATTACTAAACACCACGAGGAAGGTGGGGGAGGGCAAAATAAGATATCAAGTAATAAAGTAAATTTAAGTATGAAATAAAACAATTTTCAGCAGTACCTTGTACTCCCTTATTTTAACAATCTTATCGTAAACTTAGAATCGATTGTTTTTAAAACAATTATCTAAATTACTAGGTTTTAAATACAAAATGCTCTGTTCAGTTTTCGCAAGCAGTAATGGCCGCTTCCGATGTAAATTTTGTATTCGGAAGGACAGTCACGAACACTTCGTGATTAGCTTTTCTACCTTTATTTTGCTTTTAAAGTTTTAGCTGGAATTTGTCTTTAGTTGATTTTTATCCTTTCGTCCAAATGTATGTTTTTAAAAAATTGGTACTAAACACTATCAACTTGTTATTCTCCAAAAGACATAACTTCTATAGTTTATTTAGAAATTCCTTAATATTGAATTAAAAATATATTGCAAAGAGTTTTAGCTCAGCTATATTCAGTACTTTATATTCTTTGCTGTTTCACATAATTATAGATTGCCATTCTCCGTGTCATATAATTTGAATCATTTACGCGTATTAGTGACGGATCCATTCTGTTACAAGGTCAATGTTTCTATAGATTGTTGTTGTAATTATAAATCAGTAAATATCTGATACTATTGAAAATAATAAATTGGTTTACATCGAAGGTTATTTTCTAAGTATAGTAAAATATGGAAAAAGATTATCAGCTCATCAAGCACCCACTGAAGGACTCGGAGCGTGCCCTAAGTTAGGTAACTAGGTCTTAGTTAACCACGCTGGCCCTGGGTTAGTTATCTTCACATATATATTTGAATTTATATAATGCTCCTGTATTTCTAACTAGATATTGCGACTTTGTCCTCGTGAAATAAATATAGCCTATGTTGCTCAGATAACGAAGCTTTTTAATCATGTTTATTAATCGACTCAGTAGTTTTTGAGTCATTTAAAAATATACACAAATACAAATCTTTCCTCATTATAATATAGGTATATACTCAGGAATACAATGGAATAAAAGGTTCTTAGTATGCGGAAGTTACTTTATCTATATGTAATATCGAACAGTGTCCACAAATCGATTCTCGTGAGCGCTGTTGCAGTATTGTGGAACACTGTCGCAATACAGTGGACACATAAATAACTGTTTACAACTATCGCTTTTTGTCTATATTCAAATGGCATTACTGCATACATTTCAAAGAAAACGACCAATGTGCTTAAATTGTGCGATATCTGATATTGAAAATTATTCTTTATGGACTAATTTATGTTAATTTTATATTTTAAATTGCTTTTAAATCGGTCGACATCTTTGACCATATTGGTCCCTAGATTGTGTTAGTATATTGTTAAAAAAAAAGTGATTTTGGAATCGTTTAAATCTATTCAATAAATGTATTGTGTCATGGTTTTGTCAAAAGCTACCTTTTCGAGATATTTAAAGAAGCCATAAGCTGCAAGAACGATCTCAACATATTACTTACTGCATAAGTGCTCTTGTTGAAAACCAGCTTGAAGACAGTCCGAGCAGAATTTAAAAATAGTAATAAACATAACATTTACTCATAATAATGTAGCTTCCTCATGTGAATGAATGTGGCTAAAAAGAAAGAGGAAGACCGAAGAAAGTATGGATGGATTGTGTGAAAAGGGATATGCTTAAGAAAGGAGTGGATTCAGATATGACGGCTGATAGAGATGTATCGAAGAGTAGCACATATTGTGCCGACCCTCCATAAGGGATAAGGGCAAGTTGATGAAGATGAATAATGTGGCTTCCTAATGGTGAAACATTTATGGCAATCAATCGGCTAGTTTTTAAGTTCATTCATAACACAAATACAAATCCCTCTTCATAATATCGACTAACAACAAAGTGGTATTTCGTTACATTAATATAAGTGTAATTTTGTTACTATTAACTTGAATCAAAACGAGACGTAACATAAAGGAGAACTGGTCCTTAGAACTAGTTGTGTATCTAATGTACAAATCTTATTGCTTCTAAACACGATAGCGTTTTTGCAGAGAATGTTTACGCATCAAATATTCAGGGAAGTCACTGGCAAATATTAAAGAGCTTGCTGTTGCTAGCGATTTCGTCGGTGTGAAAAAAAGTTAGCTCATGTTATACTGTTAACGTAGTTTTTTAAAAGTGAAAGAATTTTTGAAATCACCCCAGTAGTTTTTAAGTTACAACAATACAAACAAATACAAATCTTTCCTCTTTATAAAATTAGTATTATTTGAAAAAACTAACATGTTTAAATATCTTAATTCTCTAGTAATATGGCATGAAAGATTGAAAATAAAAATCTTTCAGCAGAATGACTTAACAATTCACAATTTTCAGTAAAAATGTTGTCATTTAAAATACGAATATCACGTTCAAAGACTTGTCTTCTGTTCTCTGAGATAATAATTAGGTAATAGGAATCGAATTATATAGTCGTTTTTATTCAGTTTTAGTTATTTTCCTAACGACCTATTTATCTTAACTGCTATTTAGTCTGTGCACACTATGTCCGGATTTGTTAAGTCTAAACAGAGATATCCTCAATAAAGTGCATTAGGTATTGCAACTTTATACGGATATCCTTTTGTAGTAATAAAATATTTACTAGTAGGACAACGTTACCGAATTATTATTTTACTAGCGTTCGCCCGCGACTCCGTCCGCGTGAAATTAAAAAAACAAAATTGAGTAGCCTATGTGTTCTTCGAGACTATCCTCTACATCTATGCCAAATTTTATAGAGATCCGTTCAGCCGTTTGGGCAACAAACTCTAACAAACATTCATCCATCCATCTAAACTTTCGCATTTATGATATTAGTAAGATAGTAAGATTTGTATTTGATGATGGCATATACACAGACATAGCCACAGGCTCTTAGAATGTTAAAATAAACTTACTGTTTATTTCAGTTTCGTTGGTAAATTACCAGGATATCAAAGAGCAAAGGCGTATGATGCGTCATTTTTGATCTTTATGTTAATTATGAGAATTTAAAATTATTGACGAAGTACCAATAAATGCCAAATGAATTCCGGTAATTTAGCGGTTTCCGGTAACCCCTATAGTAATTTGATAATCTAAATTACAACTGCATTTGAAATAATCCTTTCGAAGGCAGCCGAGCGATTTGTGTCAAATTTTGATAAACATTAATGTTTTACTTGATGCTGCTTGAAGCTTCGCAAGTCTTTAGTAAAATACTATGTGTCCTTGACAAAAAAACATATTTTATTAAGGTCATATCCCACTTCACTGAAAGAAGTTAAATGGCAACTAAGGGATTGTTTTAGTAATCACTAGCTGTTCCCGTGCGGCTTCATCCGCATGAATATTGTCATTTGTCAAATTATCAATAGCAAATGTCAAAATGACATGACCTTGGCAATCTTGCTCCCTTGATGTTGGCAGCAACTTATGGTCTCTTTCCAACATTAAGGTTTTGTCCAAAATATTTACCCCCTAAGTTTAATCTCGTGAAAATATATAGCCTAAAACATGACGCAAGTGTAGGGCTTTTTATAAAAAAAATAATTATTCAAAAATATGCTGTAATTGCTGACATCTTAGGCAAGAAAGAAGTGTGTGTTTACGCTTTTTTATAATAGTATAGATAATATAGATTTAACAACTATAATTAGAGTAGTTTATATACCATGATATTAAGAAGTTACGAAAGCTAAGTCTTCAGTGCTGGATGTTTTTTTTAAGTATTTAAAAACATCAGCGTCAAGTTGAGAAAGATTTTATCATTTCTATACAAGGAATAGAGATAATTTCGTAAATAATGTCTGGAAAGTCGGAAATATAGTCTTATGAATATTATGTAAGTGGGGCAGACAGGAAGGACAAAGGACATAGTTACCACGCTACTGAATTGAGGTCAAGAATTAATTTATTTTTATAAATTGAGTTATGTTTATATTTTTTTTCAAGATTAATATAAATTAATCTCTTTTTTAATCTTCAAGGTTTAAATGTGTTTGTTTTAATCGACTTTTATAAATGTTTCTTAAGAACACAAAAACTGTGTAATGCAAATTTAATAATTATATTTCAAGTAATAAATTGTAACTTATTTGTTAGCAAAAATACAAATAATTTCCTTCTTTCGAGTGATTTAGATTATACAAGATAAGCAATAACAAAGGGCTTTATGTGCCTGCATAATGGAGATAGGGGTGTGAGTGCAGGGCTGGCGATGCATTAATGCTAGTTTCACACGAGGGGAGAACAGTAAGACAGTGTGTGTATTGCAGTACAATTGAACCCACACTTCCTAGACAAAGTAAAATCCGATAAGCGATAAAGTTAATCGAATAATTCTATGTTTTAATTTTTACAATGATGCCTATAATTGAATGTAACTTTTGACAAAATTCAATATTATTTTGAGATTAATTGAGTGTTCCAACAATATCAATACTGATTACCTCCTACCTCAATGTTCTGCCCTCGTGTGAAACTAGCATAACGAGTATTTTAGCGGCCCGCTGGCCGGTGCCCGCATCATGCTCTTAATCCAATTGGTCATTTCCTCGACGACAGACGGCGACGGCGATTGCGGCCGACTTTTATTTACTTGTTTTTTGTTCACGCATTGCTATTCTGTACCTATAGTTATGCGCACATTATACATTACACCTATTGTATTATACTCAGTCTCTGCTTGAAACTAGTTCTATTATAACCTTTAGTTTTGGAACATATGTCATAAACAATGATTATTTTCGTTCTATGTTTCAAATTTTGAATATCGAAATTTACTTTTCTGTATAGTTGTCATATACTTAACTCCCTAATTTGGACCGACATAATTATCGTATTGTGGATATAAGGGAAATTCAATTAAGATAGCTTACTAGCTTACTTTTATGCATCTTTTATAATCCATGAAGGTTTTACAAATTTTCTGAAACCTCTATTACCATGTTGTTCCTTGTTTGACTATATCTGTAGTCTGCCTACCCTTCAGGGTTACTAGCGTGCAATATTTGTTACTTACTTGAGTATCCTACCGGCCTCCGGATTCCGGTAAATGTCGCATTTGTGCAGCGGGCGCGAGGGCTCGCCGGGTATGTACTGGCCAGTTCTCGTGCACAACGCGCGGTGAATCTGGAACTGCAGTACTGTGCTTACGAAGTATCTGAGGAAAGAAGAAGGAAGATAATAAATAAAAGATAATAATAAAGCTATGTAAATCTTACATCTTACTAATATTATAAATGCCAAGAGGATATAGGATATAGAGGATAGTCTGGAAGAACACAAAGGCTTTGGATCCCGGAAATAGTTACGGTTCCCGTGGGATAAGTTAATTTAATTTTGTAATGTTTAATGCATAATTCAACGGTTCAACATATCTATTTAGTATTTGGCACATATTTAAAACAAAGTCTAGAGTAAAACGTGATTTTTTCTGCATGGACGAAGTCGTGAACAACAGCTAGTTATTTACTATAGATATAATGTAGTATCTTTTCGGTGGGACTGTTTACGGAAAACGAAGCGTGTGAAGTAGGTTAGGTTTTGCATTTGTACTGTCCCCAGATATTACTTTCGCGTGTTCATTACACAATATTGTAATTATATTAAACCATATTCAGTATTGCTACTAAATTGTACAGAAATCTTGATGAATGTGTAAATATGGTTTATGTCAACGTAGATTATTGATAAACAGTTCTGGTTTGACTTGTAACAAGAAAGATAAGAAACTGTCATCAACTAGTCGTCGGTTTTCAGTGTTGAAATAACTGGAGTTAAACAGAATACTATCTCTTTCTTCTTCTTTACAATAACAGAGAGAAAAATACATTTTTGTGGTGTCCACACACTGACCTCTATAAATGGACAGGCTGTAAGACATCCTATTTCAATTGGTGGTAGTGAGTCGTCGAACTAATCATAGAGAAATAATTGAATATTGACTTAAATAATTGAATTAAACAATTCAAACTTTAACTAGAGAATTTAAAGCTAAGAAAGAATAAACTGACATTTCCTAATTTTATTTAAAAAGATACATATTACACATCCTGATTTTGAATGTAATTACGATGTAATTTTTTCCTTTGACTGTATAAAGAAACGAATATTAAATTTTCTCATTAATCATTTCAATTTTACAAAGAATGTATGGTGCAACATTTTTTTCTCAAGGATGTAGTTTTTTATTGTTTGCGGAACTTCATTTAATACGTTCAAACAGGTTCTGTGTCCGTTACAACTAAAAGCGTAGTATAGCTGATGAAACTGTTCCAATTCTTACCGAGCATGCCGAAACAGTTATGGCGTTTGTAATTATCTATACGGTTGACAATTTCTGTCAGTAATTTGAAAGCGGAACTAACATCTGCATGCATATATCGTCAAAGTTTCTATTTATAATAAAATGTATAAAACTATATTTCGAACCAAAGCTGTACAATAAGTATAGGTATTCAAAATGCAAAAACTTATGTAATTTATGTGTTATAAGATATTTTTTGCCTTAATAACAATTTTTTTTTGTCTATCCGCAAAGCTCTAATTGTTTTTAATAATAACAGAAACAGGTAGACCGATTTTTTCGGGCGTAACTTAGGCTACTTTTAATTTCAGATGAAAGCCTTTACAACAGCTAGTGTGAGATGAATTATCTTAATTCTATTCATGGCAACCCTAATGAATTTTCGAGCAATTTTTAATCCATAAGCTTATGATACGCCGGCGAAGAATTGGAATTGCATGCCGTTTACTCACTATAGTTTTACGTGCATATTGGTTGTTTGTGGCAATTAAGACAATTAAATTGTACTGCTTCTTTCACAATGAATTTCAAGTTAGCAAATATTTAAGTATTTATTACCAAATTTATTGGCTAATTATTAGAACGTTACGTTCGGTAATAGTGCCATCAATCAATGGATGTTACACAATGCACCGGTTAAACGGTACGTACTTATTGTAACATGTTTATGTTACATGTTACGGAACGGAGGTACGGTGCAACTGTAAGCGGAGATTGGAAAAAAATATTAATACTATAAATATATGCATATTACATACTTAATGAAGATATATGTAGACGCATTTAATGGTCAAAATCATATTTTCTTAATAATAAAGGATCGTTCAGATTCTTTTTAATAGAACTTTTTTTTTTTTCAACAACTTACTTTTTTTCTTTAATGTAGAAACTTCCTAAGGTTTTTCGTTTATGAGAAGTGAATCAAAACAATCACTATTTCCTTAATAAATTAAGAAAAATTATTAAGAGCTTGAAATAAAAATACTTGCCGTTTTATTCGCTGTTAATCTGACCCTACCCTATAACGCTAACAATCTTGGACGTAAATACCAATCGTAGTACGATTTATTGATAAAAGTACGTTTTTATCAGGATCCAATTACATCAGTGTTGCAAGCCTTTTATCTCATTTCGTACAAATTAATTCCTATCAAAAAGTTTTAAAAATGTAATAAATAATGTTGCCAGTTTATCATCTTTGTATCGAAAATGACTTTGCTGAATTTATAGCTGTTATATGCGTGAATTGCAATATTTATATCGGGTTAGTACATCACTTTGCATAATAACATAGTTAAGTGAATAGATGGCGGCCAGTTTGAGGTGTAACTTCTGTTGCGAAAGACATATTTATGGCGTAGCGAAATGTAACAATTGATGTAACAGGCTGGATGTGTTGCAATTTGATTCTTGATAGGCAATTGTTATAGTTCTGGAATTTTCTACCAATTAACAGATATATCGTGACATCAAAGAGACGACATGAATAGACTTTATTGGAATTACTTTAGTAATAAAGCTTTTGCCCCTGACTTTATCCGTGTGGTTTAAATAGCCAAAGTAAGTAGTTATCTGTGTAAAATTTTATCGAGATCTGTTAAACTGTTTTATAGATACGAACTAAGAAAAATCTTAAAATCTCTCTAATGTTATGCGAAAATTGCGAAAATTTCAATATTAGTGTGGGTAAAAAGATTTTTCTCCAGACAAATGTGTCCAAAAATTTAAATATTTAATCGTTTTAAAAAGCATCTGGTATTCTATTGTTTACACAAAATGTGCAGTCTACTGCATTATTTCTTAACACAATAAACACATCAAGTAGCATTAGTTATTGTTGCATAAAGTTGTAAAAAAGAAACAACTTCTCACCTACTTTTGCCGGCATTCTGACGTGAACTTAATCTGTCGCTTATGTAACAAACGAAGAGATTAAAAAAGTACAGAGGAAGCATAGACTGTTCACTTGAGACATTTTTCACATGATCCACTAACACCATCTATTGATATGTCCTACAATTAATTGCCAATAGTCTCTTAAAATTAAATTTAAATGTTTTTTTTTTTTATTCTCTGACATTGTTTTGTTTATTTTAAAACAAAAGATGAAGTTTATTATAATTTTGTAAAATGTTTTATAACATGTCAATACAAGGACATGAGGTGGCACTAAACTTGACAACTAACAGTACCTTTCAGAGAAATTACCGGTGAAAAAATATTATTTTTTATGTCTAGTCTATATATTTATTAAATATCTTTGGTAACAAATCTTGATAACAATATATTTTAAGGCAGCACCACACTGCCTGTTAATGACGTTTGGAGTAATCACCGCTCCACACTACCCGGTGTGACGTTTGGAGTAATTGCTCGGATTTGCGAAAATTAGCACGTTTTGTAACGCGTGTAGTTGTTACATTTTCGTGTAAGTGAGAGTAATTGTGTGTGTTCGTTAATTTTGTAACACTTTTTGTGTTAATAAATGCAATTTTTATTTGTAAATATAACAATGTAGAGGTGGAAATTGTGTTTCTAAATTACTTTTTATTATTATTTTTTTAACATTATTAAACCAGCGCTTGACTACAACTCCACCTAAGTTAAGTGAAGACGCGGCCGAAGGATAGAGCGCGCTAGCTATAATTGTAATTTATATTAAAAAAAATCTGATTGTTTTTTGTTTTATTAATACCTTTTTAAGTTACAAACCTTGGTACAAAATACTAGCTATAATTGTAAAGGAAATATGCATGTTATATTCAGCTATACTAACATCCGGACGCTCCCCTTCAACAATCACTCACTTGAATTTGAGTGCGATCTCCGGCGACTGCAATAATAATAACGATTTTCATTGCTAATTATCCGCATTGCGAAACAAAGGATGGTGTAATAGATATATTTTAAAATAAACTCCCTCAAGAATTGTTCGACATTTTATTTCTTTATAAAACTATATAGTTAGTGAATTCTTGAAATTCCAAGTGCCATAGAATATTGTTTCATCCGTTCGCGCGGAATTAAATAAAAGTACCCTATGTGTTCTTCCAGACTATACTCTACATCTGTGCCAAAATTCATCGATATGTTTTTAACCGTTTAAGCCGCAAACTGTTATAAACATCCATACAAACATATAATACTTGGCATATATAATATTATTGAGAAGTAAGAATTAAGATGATTTCTAAGGATTAATTATCATAGTCAGTTAGTGTCATTCAACGTCATTACAATCTTTACTAATATTAGGAAGAGGAAAGATTTGTTATTTATATATATTGAAATATCTCAAAAACTACTAGGCCGACTTTGAAAATTCTTTCACCAATAAATACGTTACGCTACGTTTAACCGAGTAGCATAGGCAATAATTATTACAATTTTTATTTCCGCTCGGATGAAGACGCGAGTAACAACTAGTATTAACAATTTATCAAATTGGTTCAATCAGATCGAGCGTAAAGAATAATAATATAGCGATATCAAGGCAATTACGTATAAATGTCGTTACAATTTGCCTTGTCTGTGGCCGTTGTAAATGTAATAATTGTGTTATTATTGTAGACCTTGGTTGTCCCTTTCTCGTGGACGAGTCATAGGGCACGCTATGCTGATTTTGACTTGTTTATTTTACCAAGGTTACTTTGATTTCTATCTTCGGTTAACTTTGTCGGTCCGACGATATAAATAATAAAATGCATGTTTTTTGTGACTGCATGGCCACTGTTTGCCTTAAAGAGGTATTTACAGATTCACCGGGCTTCAGGTGGCCGAGCGCAGATGGCGCCTCGTTTATGAGCAACTAAGCTCGAGGGCTCCCTCAAGAGCTTTGGAACGAGCCGTTACTT